CTTCACTAATATATTTCGCGTTGTAAACTGTTAAAATGTTTTATTTTATTATATATACTACTTGTATTCATGGCTATTACGATATTTGTATTTTGTAACTATGGTTTGATTTTACTCTGTACTCTATGAAAAGCGAAAGTGACTCACCTCGAAGTCATTGCGATCTCGCACCACCATAACTTTTTTGAAAAATATCTGGGGCATTTTGTCTCTTGTCACATTTATACACACAGCTTTTATTTATAAAAGTAACACTCAGCTATTCTTCTAAATAATGTTCGTTGAATTTAATCATATTTTTAAAAACAGCGCGTTTCTCATAGCAAAGTAATATATTTTGAGTGTAAAAAGTGCACTCATTCACATGTGAAACTTGAATGATAGATTTATCGGCAATTTATTAAGAAGAAAAAGTTATTATATGTTTAACACGGAACGTTGCCTTCTAGCGTTGGATATTGAACTAACCGCAAAACAAGTATAATGTTTACAAGTACGAAATGCCGACTTGGCTCTCTGTTGCAATAGGCAATTTAATTTGATAGATCTATTCTCTATTTCATAGTGGCTAACGTTCAATATCCTTTGCTGCTTGTTTTAAATTTCGTGTCGATAACCGTTTGGCCTGTGTATTGCGATATAGCTCGCCGATATAAGATCAAATCTTGATTAATTTACCTTATATTGAGAATATGTTATTAATACCCTACATACTTTTAAATAAAACACTTTAAACGGTTAAAATGTGAAATATATACGTTAAACTTATACATATTTAATTTATTTCAACTGAGGACCCTCGCTGCACAGTTTACGAAACGTATGCTTTAAACAGCAGATATGGTCAAACGGAGGGACGGCGAAACGTAGCTTGTGCAGAAAAGAATGAACCAGTAGTTTAATCAATATATTTTGCGTTTTGAACCGTTAAATGTGTTTATTTCAATGTGTACTACTCACGTAAACGACACACACATTTACATACTGTATATATTTACATAGAGTGTATTAAAGACAATACCTCAACCCCGTTGTTATCTATTACTGTACATACTATGACTGTAAGAAAAGTAATAACTTATATCGAAAATTCAAAATTGGGACAAAATCGTACGTAAAAATATATTGTCAAACTCCGTTTTCCCCAAGGGGAGACCCAATTCACTGATCGATTCTAATAAAGCCTAGCTTACAAGACCTCTAAGCACTTCCTGAACGAAATGGTTTCCCCGAATTTTTAACCCAGAACCCAGGATCTAGTGCGTAACGTAATACTAAACATTTCGAATAATTGAATAACGAAGAAAGTCAGATACAAAAACCTAGAGCCGTAATATTTATACACAAACTATAACAAAATGTAAATTAAATGAGTGAGGAAGCATTTGTTACGCATCGTTAAGACTTGAATATGCAAACTATAAACCAGCTGAGAGAAAGTAATCTTGTTTGGAAACGAAAAACTATGAAGATCAACCATTAAAGCGTTCTTACTATCGTCTGCTTTATTACAATGAGGACATGCTGGGGCAAGCACCGTGCTAACGTGAATCACAACCGTAACACAATTGTTGTGTACATTTACGGACGAGGACTAAATATTTACTCGATACTAGCCGTGTCCGCGACTTTGTTCGCGTGGAATTGATTTTTTGGGCATCATATTATTTATTTTTGCAAACCTCCTCAGCTGTAGCTGTTACCCACGGCTTCGTTCTAGTGAGTTAATATTAAAAGATAGACATATACTGTCAGGACTCGACATTTTGTAGGTCATGTAAAGAGGAATCATTCTTTCATAAGTATTTTTGGTTTCAAAAACCGTTTTCGCAGCGCACGCAATGAAACCCTAATAGATGAATTTCCCTGTTTTCTCCACATCTCCCTTTGTTTTTTCGGTCTTAATGGTCGATAGATTTTCGATCTTCATTTATTAGCGCGTTCAAACAAACATCCTCTTCAGCTTTATATGTTATATATTATTATGTTTATAGTTTAATACAATTTTATGGGTCTATGACCTATTGACTATATGCTAACCAGAATCAGACTCTATGCCCTGCCCAACCAAAGCAATCTATTTCCTAGGATTGGAAACCAGGAACTAGCGCGATGCTAGGCGACACATTTCATCATTTCGCTACAGGCGATCAAACTGTTTTAAGGCTAGGCTATATAGCTTTAATCTAGTGAACCCCGTGCTCTTTAGTCCTCATTTATCATTAAAAAAAGCTTGGATATTGTTGGCTTTAACTTTTGACATGCTGCATCACGAATTACCCCAAAATACGGCCATTTGTGGTATAAGCTCATAATATATTATATTATTTAATACGTGTTTTTTAATAGGACGAACAAGCGGTTCCCCAATTGAAAGTGAATTTCATGGATTTGTGCAATTCCATCAAGGTATTGGATCCGTTGCCGCCCTTTAAACATGTATATAATGATACCTAGATGACCAATTGATTATTAAAATAGAATATTTCTACAGATAATAATTATATTCAATCCTTAATTAGCGTAATTAATTTATTATGTTATCTGAATTCTATGTGTTACGAAAAGTTATGTAAGACAGCCATTGTGTAACCATAACATATAATCATATATTATCTATCGTGTCAAAGTTAAGTAATCCTATGCGCGTGCGCTTATATGGTGCTGATTAGAGAAATTAGTGAATAGAAGGAAAAAGCCAATTTACAAGAACCAAAAACTATATTTAATTGAAATTCTAAACTTAAGTTAGTAATTCAACTTGTTTAATCATTAATCATAACAAATTGACGTCGATTGCTTATTTTGAGGGTAGTACTAAATAAGTGCATCTTTTAATAAAGCAATGAAATATTTGGCGTCTTTATAATGTTGAAGACGAAAGCTAATACTACTACAATATAATAATAATATAGTTCTTAAAGAAATTCTTAATAATAATACCCTAGATAAATACATTAGTCGGTCTCAGATCAACAGTAGAAAACAAGTCAACTTAATAATAGTTATTCTCTACCCGGAACTCGATTTTTCCAACACTTTTCTACCTAAAGAAAATTAATTTACGATAGTTCATACACACAATGACATTTCCCGTGATTTCTAGTGATAGACTGACGTATTTGGAGATGTAGAGATATGAGATCATTATGTTACAATTACGAATGCGTCGTGCCCGCATATCACGATTCTATATCAGGTAATAGAATTTCTAAGTTATTGTCTTTTCAGCGCTAGTTTAATGGTTTTACTTTACAGGTATTAGTTACCTGAATTATACGAGTTATGAGTATGTAAAGAAAATTATTTGTTCCCTTTAATTAAATTATGTTTTTCAAAATGTGTGTGACATATGGAAAGATAAGCTTCGTGATGTCATCTATATGTATTACTTGTTTGAACTGACACCAATATTATATAATCAACAGACGGTTGCTTTAACTATTCCGAACTGATACATGATTTTTTTAAATGTTGGTGTTGATTTTTATTCAGATAACGAAGCAATATTCTATGTAACTAACATACAGGTTGAAACAATCGGCCCTATTTTTTAATTGTAAATACTTACGTTTAAGTAAAACCCGTTGGTAATCCACGACCTTCCAGTCAACAGACCTGTCACATACTTCCTTCGCCATTTTGACAGTAATGTGTCACTACTCCTCCGTTTTGAGTGTCTGATCACCGCGTATCGGTCCATTGTCTTAAATCACCAACCATTTGATTGCTGGTCGAATCGCGTAAACAGTGTAGATAGAAAACACGATGCTCGCAACCAACAGACGCGCCAAAACTAAACGGTCATAAAATTCAAACGCGATATGTTATATAAATTAACGTTAATTATGAGAATTTGAATAAATAACGCCGCGCTAGAAAGTTCTTGCGTTAACTTTTTTCGTTGTTAGCGCGATTCATCCAGGACGTCGTCCTGTGGCTAAGTATACACGCCCAATAAAACAGTTTACACTTATTGTTACCTTATTTGTGTTACGGTATGTTGGAACGAATACGGCCACGTGATTTGAATGCCGTAGTTTCGAATCGGTCCTTCTAAATCGGACAATGGATCATTCTGTATGCGACGTATAGTTTGCCCTCTATGTAAGTAGGTTTTATACGCCTTAATTCTTAGGCAACGAACGTCCTTGATGATATTTTCATAAACAAATTAATAACTTAGCTAACATTTAAGCAATGTCGTTTCCAAATCCATTTTATGTTTATCAGTTTAGCAAAAAGGATAGAAATAGGTCTTTAAACATTAGTTATTTAAAAACAAAACTTTTTATAAAATCAGGAAAAACGACATACAACAATAGAAGCGCATATATTATGCAAGTTTGTTGTGACTGATCTGCAGGTTTTATAAACTGCAAAATTAATGATTTTGCAAAGTTTATCTTTGACGTAATGTTTTAAATTGTTTTTAAGGCGCATACGCTTATATAGAGTATAGACCATATTATATTACTTGGCATAACGTACTAAACATGTATGTATATATAATATTGAATAAACAAATATATTCTACATCGTATGTATGTTTTTCGTCGCTTTAATATTTCTATAAAAAAATAGAAATGTATACTTGCAAAAGACTAATGCTAAGCATACGTTAGTTTAACTAGCAGTGGTCGTGGGAGCATAACAATTGCTGCAAAAGATCCAAAACGTCCACGTCGGGTCGTGGGTAAAATATAGGTATCTAATATAAGTATTACACATATATTTTCAGTGTTAATCGTTAAAAGTAATGAATTTAAATTAGTACTAGCTAGTCAATTGCGTGTTTTAAGTAGATAATTGATTCATTTATTCCTAGTCATGATTTGTAGATAAAGTCAAGAAGACGACACAGAACAGCGGACTAAGAGGGATTTTTACTAGTTTTCTAAATAATTTTTAGTTAAATAATTCGTTTTTATGTACACATGTAGAAGAGAAAAACTTATACATACACGTTGATCTATTTATTGTCTATCTATCCCAGTAAAATGTCAAAACCTAAGCTTGACAGTGATGGTTTTCAAATAGTATCTTCTAAAAAATCAGCAAAAATTAAATCTACTAAGATTCCTAGACAACCAGAGGAATTTCTACACGAATATAGATTAGATCCAGAAAAATCCTATTTGTATGTGCACAGTTTCTATTCTTTTGAAGACCAACATGTTTTGAGGTTATATTAATCAAATAAACATTCGTTTTCAGGCAAATTTTGTCCGCTCTAGAGGTTTTAAAGGATTCCCAATATCTAAAAGACCTTATAAAATCTGTGAGTAATGTAATACAGAATAGAAAACTTATAGAATTAGTTTGTCTTGGCTTAGGGCGAGTTGGGGAGTGCAATATTTCCAAATACCAGTTAGCTTTGTTGTTATGTTTAAAAAGCTCATTTAATATCAAAAAAGTTCTCGTACATGATCCTATTTTTAGTGTTCAAGAATGTGAAATTCTGAAAAGATTTAATTTAAATTTAATAGAAGATAATAATGAAGGAGGTTATATAATATCTAATGAAGGTGTAACATTAGTGTATTTACCTCATTGCCCAAAACAACTGACTAATAATTTCCTTTGGAGTAACTGGAGCTTAAATTTGGAAAATTGCATTCTTTTATGTAACAGCTTTAGTTCTCTGATTGAAAGTCAAGTAAGCAGAGTTCTGTCAGAAACAGTTCCGTACATATATAAAATATTCCCTTACACAACTGAAATATCGCTAGATAATAATTTTATACACAGAGATATTTTTAATGATACAGCAATCCATTTCTTCACAAATGAAAAATTGCAATTAGTACCTTTAGATTTCTGGCTCAATCCACAAAAACCAAAATACAAAGACACAGAAGAGTTTATAACAGCATCTATGATTGAGAAGTTAAAAATTGTTTGAAGGTTTGAATAATGGCATCAATTTCTTCAAAACTGGCACTAGCAACACTACGGCAACTTTTATCAGAGTTACGGAAACAAAGCTGCACAGGAAAGCTGGGTGAGAACCAAATGGCAAAGTATGTTTTGAGCCAATATCGAAAATATCAAACAACAGACCAACAACTCTGTAAAGCTGCAAATGAAATGCATTTTAAGGCCCGTAGCTATTGTGACTATTTAGAGAATTCTCGTCTCTACAAGGAAATAAATACAGAATTTAAAGGAAAAGGTGAGCGCAGTGTTGAGGAGACAGCAAATATGGTTGGCTTTAAAATGCCACATGACCCAAAGTAATTGTAAAATTATACAGTCATTATGAGGAATTTATATAGGAGCCATACTCATATCTGCATAAAATATGTTTGTATCATTAAAGAACCAAAATAAAAGAAATGTTAAAAGTACATAACATGTTTTATTCCTTACATTAAGATAAATAAAAAAAATATAAAACTCAATTTATAGTAAGTCCAGGCAATACTTCTAAGGTAATTGAATAAACATTTTGTTCATAGAAAATACATACAGTCTTGTTGATAATAGAAAAAAAAACCATGTGCCACAAAATATAAATTACAAGTAGATGTTTATTGTCCCTATTGTGTATATTGCTTTTCAATCAGTTTAGCTATAGTCTGCAGTTGCATGTTGCTGGTGCCCTCATAAATGGTGCCAATCTTTGCATCGCGATAGAATTTTTCCTGTGGGAAGTCACGAGTGAAACCCACTCCGCCCATGAAGTCTATGCATTTTGATGTCAGTGTTTGAGCAATTTCTGTAATGACAAGTTGTTATTAAAAGTGTGGATATAGAAGAAGAGACTGTAAAAAGGCTGTGATTTGGAACAAAAACATTTCTAAGTCTGTTTCACTTGCCTTGCCTGTACAGACAAGTGGATGAAAGTGTTAAGGAGTACCGAGATTTGAAACAGGGTTACCCTAGTTATTTAAATAATAACCATAGTGAAGTTATATACCTGATGCATAGTATTTAGCCATGGCAGCTTCCTTGACAAAGTCCATGCCGTTTTCCTTGAGTCTGGCAGCGTTGTAAGTCAGTAAGCGGGCTGCTTCCAGTTGCGTGTGCAAATGAGCCAGCTGGTAGCTCACACCCTGCCAATAAAGAGTTTAGAATAAGTAACTTAAAATAGGCAAAATAATAAGACTTTTTCAATGATTATTGTGGCCCGGGAATGTCAACACGAACCGGACGGTTTAACCCTGTTTGCAGTTAGATCAAGATGTCCTCTTGGCATCGGCTTGGACCACCACAATATGGGTGGGAACTAGAGGAGCCAGAAGAAGCCTCAATCTAATGAGCGAAACGCGAATTGCTTTGTTTTAGACATCGCAAATGTCATGGTCCTATCAGGAGCGAACTTTACTTTTCACTATTCTTGATTGTCAAAATGATTCAATGTTTAAGGCATTTTCAAGAAAACTTTGGAAAAGACCAATTTATACCTGGTATGCAAATATCTTGTTTCCGAACTGTTTTCTTTCCAGTGTGTACGGAATGGTGGCGTCCATACAGCCCTGGCACAAACCAATCATTTGAGAGGCAATACCTATTCTGCCTTCATTTAGGAAACCTGCTGCATATTTGTATCTAGAAATTAAATTTACAATAAGGTATATTCTAATCACCAAGATAAGTAAGTAGATATTTAATTTTTATTTAAATTTTTACCCTTTTCCATATTCTCCTAATATGTTTTCTTCTGGTATTTTTACATTGTCAAAGTGTACCATGCAGGTACCAGAGGCTCTGATACCCAATTTATTCTCAGGCTTGGCTACGCTTAGACCTGGTGTCTCACGTTCCACAATGAAGCAAGTTATACCCTTGTAACCCTGTAACAATAAAACTATAATTGGATATTGCTTAAATATACGCATACGTCCGAGTCGGTTTTTATAAAACAACACTCATTTATAAGCAAGATCGCAAAAGCCTATGCAGAGCTATAAATTAGAACCTGACAATTTGTATGAAAGCTATCGTATAAATCTTTTCCACTATAAGTGCTATCAACAATAATAAATGACAAAAAAAAATTATATTAGAATATAAACACGATAAGAAGTCAAAACGATAATGATGTTTTATTAAATTACGTCTTACTAACCTACAATGTTGATCGTCATAAAAATTCCTATTTTTGTTTTAACCAAATTTTGGTAATTTTAAATTGTAGGGTTCAAAGCGCATTTAAGTATGTATCATTAAGTTTAATGTAAGTACAAAAGTAGCTACATACTAAGTAGCATTGGCCATTGGTCAAACCTAATGTTATTAATATTACGCTTACACAAATATTTATCACTTAAATATTATTACGTTGTTACTGATGCAATTATTATAAGATATAAACATGTTTGTGAAGCTTAAATTGTTTATTTCACTAAATCGTAAATAAACATACCTACTTTGTTTAATTGTCTCATTTATATAAACTACAACTTTTAAGAATAAATGATATCACTCAAATTCTAAATAACTTTGTATGTAAACTATATAAAGAGATATGCTAGCTTCTGTTATTTCTAAAAACACTCGAACTGCACAAACATAATTCACAACAATGACAGCTGCTGTTTTGCGACACTTGACAAACTCTAATATTATTCTTTAACATTTGCGGGTAGATGTATGTAATTCTACCCTACCCTAGAAAAATTCTAAATCGCGCTTATAACATTTTCTACTCGAGTAAGAACATATTACATTTGGAGTAATAATCTGTCGGGGTCAGCAGCTGCGAGGGAAGCCAGTAGCCACGCTGGTTAATAAATTGTGGCTTTCTTTCAGATGAGGCGAAAGCCTATAATAAAGATGAAGTGGAGACGGCTACAAGGTAATAATCTTGCAGTTCGTGATTACCTCGCAGTGGGCAATAATAACCCTTGTTGTGGTTAACTCGACCCCTATTTTGAAGATATATTTTTTTTAATTATAATTTCTTTTTTAGGAGTATGTGTTTTATTACCTTAGACGGATCAGCGTTGGCCATAACCAGAAAGACGCCAGCAACATCCGAGTTTGATATCCACATTTTAGATCCGTTGATTATATAATGGTTTCCTTCTTTCTTGGCGACTGTCTTCAGCGAGAATGCATCTGAACCGGACGTCGGTTCTGTTAGGCAAAAGCTGCCAGCCTAAAAGTTTTTTAAAGTAATGTCATCTAACAAATCTGTTATTTTTAGCTTAGTATCTAAGTCAAATTATATTTTTTTTTAATAAAGACGAAAGTGACTTTTGAACGACGAAAGATGCAGATGACTTGATAAGATTTGAACTTATTATGTCATTCTCACTATTATCACCACAAATGTCTATATACTTACATATTCCGTACACAACTTCGTTAAATATTTCTTCTTCTGCTCCTCCGTGCCTAGTTTCATAAATAGCGAGTTGACTAATGTGTTGTGTATATCTACGTATGCAGCAACTGCCGGGTCAACCCGAGATAATTCTTCTACCACGAGCATCATTGTGAGGAAACCACAACCTGAACCGCTGTATTCTTCTGGAGTTTCTATGCCCATAAGCTAATCAGGAAATATTATGGAGATTAGAATTGCTTAATAAAATCGCCTTGAGTTAGAAAAACCATTTTTAATTTAGGTGGCATGGTCTTACTTACGCCATTGTCAAAAAGCATCTGCCTAATGCCTTCGTCAATTTTGTGTTCATCTTCCATTTTCTTAACTAGTGGTGCAATTTGGTCTGTCGCGAGTTTTCTTACTGAAAACGAAACAGTGATTTTAAATTATATTCTATCTAATTCTATTATTCAAAACGAGGCTTACAAAATAATAAAAGCATAACTACACCCATTTTGAAAGAAAATCAATCTAAGAGGTAAAAAGTTGTTATTTTCAATAGTAATTTATGCAGTTCTATATCTAGTTTACGCAAGACTTTATTTTCATAATATTTACTTAAAAGCGATAGAGTTGGACACTATATTCTAATTATACAGTTTTTGAATGTCTTTTAAATATACTTATTTATATAATTAATTCAGTACCTAATGATGTAATTACAAAATTTATTACATTAGTTTATTTGATCAGCGCTCATAGTAACCACGAATATTATAATGGGCAGAATTTCGTGTTGATATTTGATAAGAGTTGTTTTGAGTTGATAAGATATAGGTATGTTGCGCAATCGTAATACAAACAACGATGAATAACTTTTATTCATTTACTACAGAATCTTAATATTTTGCCGAATTATTTCTAGAAAATTCCCCCTTTTTAATGAAAAATAATAAGTGCCAGTAGTGCAAACAGAATTATAGTAGTTTTCGCTCTAGTTTCTATATTGCACGATAGGAAGTTAGACATGCATAATTACTATTAAAGAAACTTTTGACAAGAGTAAAAAAAAAGCTCCGACAGGAAGCCTAAACATACTTAACACATTATTATTATTGTATATTAATAGTATTGGAATTGTTCCTCACTTGTTAGACAAAAATTAAGTGTAACTCAATAACCTAGTCTTATCAGAGGACAATTTGACCGATATTTCATTATAAAATGTTGTATGTACGGACGAGGAGATACTTCGTCCGTACATTTCAATGTTATCTAATCTAATTGTGCTTTATTGTCAAATACAAGAAGCTCCTAACCACACAGATAAGATATAAGTTTATAACTTTTAAGTATTAAGAGGGCACTAAATCCTTACTAATATTATAAATGCGAAAGTAACTCTGTCTGTCTGTTACTCTTGCACGCATAACTACTAAATGGATTTGAATGAAATTTGGCACACATATGGTCTAGACCCTGAGAAAGACATACTTTTATTGCGAAAAGGGGGTTGTAAGGGGTTAAAAGGGGGGGTGAAAGTTTGTATGGAAATTCGTGGTTTTTGAAGAAAGAAGATTGAAATTTTCTTCTTTCGCTTTTTGAGATTAGGAGAGGTAGTGGGAGTTAGAGTAGGAGTGATGTGAGGTGAGAGTGTTGCGGCAAAGTAGCACTTGCAACATAGATTGGCTGCGATAAATACGCAATTACATAATTTAATAAACAGCCTAAATAATTAAAAATTCTACCCCAAGTCACTATCCCACGCAAACGAAGTCGCCGGCACAGCTAGTTAAATGTAACTAGGAAAATTTGTCTTCAAAATATAGCAAATAATTCTAATATTAGGAAGCACGCCGTTTAATAATTAATATTTAAATCAATTGGTGTTGGCCTTGGAAAATAAAGGCGTGTCTTCGGTTTTGATTTTTGGTATTTATAAATAACTAGGGACCGCTAAATAGTAGATGGTAACTTCTTTCGCGAACAATTAAAATCAGTCGAACATTATTAATGAGTTATTAAGGCTAACTTCTAAATAAGTAAAAGTAATGAGTATTATTTAATCGGGCTTACTAATTACATAAATATTCATTGATTAAAAATTATAACTTTATTTAATCAAAGCTATCTATTGATAACGTGTTATTACCACGTTTCTTAGAAATAAAACAATTTCAGAAAAATTAAAGACCGTTTTGACAAAAGCAAACACAATTGAATAACAACTCTGTTTGCATATACGGGTTCTTCATCGTTGTCTATCTATATTCTAGGTGTAATTTGTGAACGCTTGACCTTGGTGAAACTTAATGGATATTTTGTCACTTAAAATGCTTATCATGAAGAGGTATTGTCAACGAGCATTTATTTGCTTATGATAAAATTTGGAGTACTGTTTGACTTCTACCGCAATTGGTCTTTAATCTAGTATGTATTTATCACCAAAAATGCTTTTAAAAAGATAATCGTCGGTTTTTAAATTTGTAAACATAGCCATAGCTCTATCAAATGTACTCGTTCATTTAATTTAGTAGATAAGTAAAAAAATATTAAATGTAATATAATAATATAAATAATTTACCTCATTCGTTAAGAAGCGAAGTAAAAAAGTACAAAAGAGGATACAATTTGTACATTTTTATTTATAATTTATTAGCTTAGCTATGTATTTTTTTCCTGTAAATGAATATTATCCTAGGTCATCTACATCGGTGTCTGCACTGTATTATGTTTTTGCGGTTTTGCTATATGTAATTCAAAACCAGTTTTAAGGCGTTTTATCTCTACCTATACACAAAATGGACGTTAAAGTAATCTCTACCTCTGCGAACTTTAGGATCGTTTGGGCATTCTTAAAATATAGCTATTATGTATAGGTATGTATGTAAAATTTCGTGGAATAGCAGCAAAAACTTACTTGTCTCCTTCATTGCCAGTTCATCTTCCGTTAGTACGGTCAGTGGTCGTGGTGCTTCTGTACTGTACTTCTGCAATCTTCCTGCCACTACAATAGGGGCTCGCCATTGCTCCAGAATCTGCAACAGGGTTTTCAAAAATCTACTTTAAAAAAATCCTTCTTCTATAACATCGCTCCATCAGGCTAGATCACTATTATTATTATTATTATGAATTCCACGGTCTTCAAGTCACACACACACACCTTGCTACCGACGCGTCGTAATGGGAACATATTTGTTGTTTTATTTTATTTTGCGAGTGCGCACGATCAGAGCGCCTCCGAGTTCTGATACGGACCGGACTGACTGCTGCTTGAAAGTTGAATTGTATAATGATGTCAATAACATTATTGTTATCTCACTCATACAGAAACACGATTTTTTCTCGTCTCGTGCCTAATTGCTTTTGATTGTTTTATATTACATAATCATTGTGAATATATTATGTACTATAATTATTATTTTATGCGAAAAATTTGTTATTCGTTGATTGAACAATTTATTTCTACATTCTGTATAATATTTAAACAGAATTAGATTCCGTATAATTGATTTTACAGGTATATATATAAATCCTGTAATAATAGGTAATAAGAATAAAATATAAACAATATAAGCCAGACTTTTTGTCACTTCACAATAACTATCGGGTCTCAAATAGTAAGAGTTTGCTTTGTGTTAAAAATAAATATTTGTTATAATTGCTTCTTTTGATTTTCTTATACTGCCTAATATAAAGAGATCCTTAGTTCATTTGTCACACTTAATAAGGTGGACTACAACCTATCAAGCTTAATCTGCGTCAATGGCTTCGTTTCGATGAGACGCCTAACAATGTGCTAAAGTTCTTAAAGGCAGATATTCTTAAGATAGCAGAGCTGTCGATGATACAATGTTATGTCGATCGTATGAATGATTTTTGTGAAAAGAAGAGATCGAAGAGTCCCTCTGTTTAATATTGATCGATAATGAGGTCATAAGTGATGATGGCTTTGTTTTTTTAACGTTATACGTTATCTTGGTTCGACGTTCAAACATTGTTTAAACTACAAGACCAAAGTATTAAAAATACTAGGACAAAGTTTCACAAAATAGGTAACTACGTTCTCTGCCAAATTAGTCAGTGTCCTACAACAAAACAAAGTAGTAAATATCATGTTATTAAAATAAAATTTCATCATGAATATCATAATATGGTATTACGAGTGCTTCAAAATATCCCACACTGAAAGAATATTTAGCTAAAAAAAAATCGTACTACAACATATATTTAATTGATAAAATGTATTTTATGATATAATTCTAAGGTAGTACCTTTTAGGTACTACCTAATCATTAGATAGCACGAAAAACTGATATTATTATAATTGACATTGAAAAGTGTGTAATGAAATCAAAATGATAATATAAGGGCTAGCGCGCACTGGTGACTTTTGTCACGGTGACTTTAAAGTTTTTGTCATTGTCACGTCACGTTTCCAAAGTGGAGTGCGCGCACGAGTAGCGATATTGACAAAACATTTTCGAAATCGGAATTGTCATTTGCCACTATGGATTTCGCAGAGACGGTCGTTCTCTGTGAACTATTGAGACTCAGGAGAAAAAGAAAACGAAGAGAATACTGGGTACACCACCTGTGGAGTGACAGGCTTCTACGTGGAAAGTTCTACACTATGTATTATAAACTTCGAGAACATCCTAAGGATTTTTTTAGATATTTCCGAATGAGCGATTTGATGAATTATTACGCACTTTATACCCTGAATATATGAAAATACGAACATACAAATAAATATTATTATTATAAATAATAACGATTTTCAATAATTATTATCAATAATAATAATTAAATAAGAATGCTATAGATTACAGTGTCTTAAGTTAAAAACGGTTTTCGACAGACAGTAGAGCGACAAGTTACCCGAAGCATTATGGGTGAAATGATCAGCGGACAACGTGGACTGATCACCCGTCCTGCCGAAGGTGTCCCCGATAGAAAATAATAATACCCGAAGCATTGGAAAATAATCTTCCACTAATTTCTTCCCACGCTTTAATTTTCACGTGAATATCAGAATACTCTTTCAATTTTTTATCATAAAGAGCTGAAGAGAAGAGTCACCGTGACAAAAGTCACCCAGTGCGCTCTAGCCCTTAAATGATAAAAAAAAGTATAGAAAACAATTATACGTCAATCCTATTACTTTTTAAATCTTTCGGGAGTATCTTATTTATTAATTATTATTATAGATAATTCATGCTTAGTTATTATTTTATTTAATTATGTCTTTTCATTTAATTGAAACAGTTAATTCTACGTTAACACAGTACGTCAAGTTGACAGCTGTCAAATCTTTCGGTTTTCTTGACTTTGCTATAATCTATGTAGTTTCTCTAGCCTTCAAATTGCACGATTTTTCTCTCCGTTTCTCGAAACTTGCAAATGGACTAACGATTAACGTGAATAACGAGTGTTTTTTTCTCATTGAAAACGAAATAACTATTCTGAAATAACTTGAATCTATTCGGGTGATATAAGTGAAAAGTGGTTACAATTTAGTCTAAAGAACTTCAAGTTGTGCCTGAGAATCCTACAAAGATCTTCGGGTTGCAAAAAATCGCATATCATTTTTAACCTCGTGTTGCTGTACCGAGAGAAATATGGCTAAATGGGGAGAAGGTGACCCTCGTTGGATCGTCGAAGAACGGCCAGATGCCACAAACGTTAATAACTGGCATTGGACGGAAAAGAATGCTGGTCCGTGGTCAAAAGACCGATTGAAGGAGTTATTAAATGATTTAAAAATAGCTGAAAATGGTATAGACTGTAAGATTACAGAAGTAGAGAAGATAGATGGAGAAGCGTCAGCTAACAATAGAAAAGGAAAGCTAATATTTTTTTATGAGTGGGACATTAAACTGAAGTGGGAAGGCCTTCTGGCTGGTGCTGCAGATAAGGTTAAAGGCGAAATTCATATACCGAATTTATCAGAGGAGAATGATGTCAGTGAAGTAGACGTAAGTGCTGCACCTTTTCATTCATAATTCTAGTTTGTCACTTAAATATTATTATTTAACTGACTTAAACTATATTTTATAAGGTAACCAGATGAATTAAATTACATAAATTGCTGTATGTAGGCAATCAAAAATTCTATGATTAGCAAAATATTAATTTTTTCATGTAAATTTATTTCGAATCCAAATAATAGCACTTATTACCAAAGTAAATTTTAAACAATATGTTACACTAGATTTTAAATCTTGGTGAATGCAATAAAGTAGTCAGTATTTCATTGTCAAAAAGAACTTTCATGGATAGCTGTATATTCAGTATCATAACAAAAATTATAAATGTTATTTCAGATGACAGTGACAATAAAAGGTAGTGGTGATGAAGCGCAGCGTGTGAAAGCATTCATGCACAATGTAGGTAAAAGTGTGATCCGGGAACAACTTACGGAATATATTAGAAGCTTAAAACAAGAGTTCTCTAAAGGCCTTATCTTACCAAAGAAAGGAGAACCACAAGTCAAACCTGATAATGTATCAACTATTACCAGTGGTTTTAATAAGAAAGTTAACATGGAGCCTATAATTACATCAGATAGTAAAAAAATTGGCTGCAAACTTGACACCAAGAGCATCGAATTAACTGAAAGTTTCCAATGCCGAGCTCAAGAATTCTATGATGCAATGACTCGAATAGACATGGTTACTGCCTTTACTCAGGGCCATGTTAAAATGGAAGCGGAAAAAGGTGGGAAGTTTTCCCTCTTTGGTGGAAATGTTTCTGGAGAGTTTAGAGAGCTTGTGCCTGGTAAAAAAATTGTACAGTACTGGAGATATAAGCAATGGCCTGAACAACATTTCTCTGAAGTTACTTTTAGTATTGAAGAAAAGGTTGGTATTTTTAATTCACATCTGATAACAAAACCACCCAGAATTAAATAAATAATATTAGCTATTTTTTATTGTCCACCTATACATAACAGTATCTTCATCCTATATTTTCTCATTGTCATTATGTTGTACATTTTTTCAGGATGACCATACATTAGTAACACTGAAGCAAGATCTGGTCCCGACATCTGAACTGGAGCAGACGCGCGCCAATTGGAAGCGTTACTACTTTGACAGTATCAAACGAGCATTTGGCTTTGGAGCATTCCTGTGATTGCCTTTCCACCAGCTTAGATAAATACATACTAGGTAGGTATAAATACTATACTTTTTATTTTTAGAAAGGTGTCCTATTTAAGTATAAAATTTCTAAAAATAAAGATAGTATATTTCTGTATTGATTTCTTCATATATTCCTGTGAATAGCTGATACTTGACTTGATTGACTGGAACTTGGCCTCTTATTTACTGCTATTATTATATTGTATTAAAAAAATCATGAATGTAATTATTAATTTTTAACCACAACCCAACATTTCCTGTGATAGCTTTGGTTATTGGGGGTTCTAGTGAAAGTTGAATAACCTACTACAATTTGTTTTTTAAACAGTTTTATCTAATTTTTTTTTAAGATAGAGGAGGACAGATATGTATGTGGTTCATTTGATACTAGGTGAAGTCTCAGCCATATACCACCAAGAGTCAAGTTTTTGGCCTTGGCTATTCAGAAATCAATTGACGGCTTTTTCAATTGTGGACGATGGTATTTGACCTGGCCAGAATTTCGATACTCCGATTTAAGATCCACATTTTTTAAACGAATTCCAATATCCCTTATGTTTCAGAGAAATCATAAATTGTTTAGAATAATGTTGGACCCTTTGGAGATCGTACCCACAACCTGACATGACACATTGCTACCATTACAGCAACGAGCCTCTCTAATATTCTACAATGTTTTTCATTTGTAAAAGTTAAATGTTCAATACATTTAAGGCTGGTTTTATAAACTATACAGCAACCAATAATAACTAAAATTTCACAATACAGACTACATCATCACAGATGTCTGAGTTATGACTGTTAAACATAATAAAGGTGATTTTTTTAAAAACAAATCTATTATTATCAGGTACTATTACTAAATGACTCCTCAGTATCCGGCAGAAGAATCTACATGCACCTGTGATTATAATGTAAAGCTATAGACGGCAACTTCAAAGAACTTTTGTACTTAGACCCGTTTTCGCTATGTATGTGGTTGAAGCTTGTTAGAAATAATGTAAGCACTTAATCTTAATAAGGCATTTGAATATTATTTTAAACAATTTTTTTTATTAATTTCAAAGTGTTTGAATACTGATTTGAAAGTTATGTTCAGTACATTGTATTGTACATACACAATGTAATTTATCTAATTTTGTTTACTTAATATTCCAGTATTAGAGTAAGTGAAATATTTGTTGATGTTGGTACACAGATACAGTTTGTTGCCGTCAAAGCTTTTGTGAACCGCTGGCTCGATTTGTATTGCTTATTATTTTTATTAAGTAGCTGAAGAATTATGTTAACAATCTAACTAACTTATGGGTTTTCCAATAAATTATATTAGGTATTATAATAGTTGTTTTATTTCTTACTTAAAGTATATTTCAATTCACTAACACAATTTGTTGAGAGCGGAATTTTTATGTATATTGGTCTAGTGACTAGTGGTATAACTCACGAATATATCACTTGGTTCCTGGGTTCGATCTTGGATCAGATAAAAGGTCGCTGCGTTTTATTCAGGAAAAGGTGTTATGATCATTTTGCATTGGAGAGCACATAAAACCGTCGGTTTTGGTTATCGCTACACTGAAGCAGCGTCGTGGGTCACTTAAAATAAATCGAAGAGATCTGTGTGAGACCCCAATTGTGGGACATTAATAAGAAATAAATCGCAAAATACATTTTTTTTATCTATCTTATACTTTTAATAATTATATTTACTTTATAACAAAATAGTGGTAAGTCAATACTAGTTTATCCAGAAATGTAAAGAAATAATGTTATCAAGTCATTCTTGACCCTAAGCTTGGTCAGTTGATATTCTGCTGTCGGAACAAAATGTGGTTTGCTTTGTCGTTATTAGTTATTTTTGCTACGGTGAGTATAAACTAATTGACTAGGTTTAGCATATAGGAGGAATTATTAATTTGTTTAGTGAGGTATATATGTAATTTTATTAAGTTATTCATTCAATTATCATTAATAATTTGCGGTTTCCCTATCAACTGTAAACAAAAATATAACGCATAGTGCACACTGCCACTTACCTACCAAATACCTACAATTTGCTTTATTGTATTAAGGACATAATAAATTATAACTAATAAAAAACAAATAATTTATTTAAAATGTTGTTTTGTTTTCTTAAATGTAATAATCAATGTTTGTCTGCTTAGGTACCTTCTCAAGCAATCGTAGCATTATTTAATGTATGTATTATTATTTTCAAATTATTAATGAATTTCTAATGGATTGTTAATGCGCGTTATGTGTCACAAATTTTAATCAGCTTGTAATTGCGTTGCTTATACTTTGCTGGTAAATGGGATGATAGAAGTGTTTGTTTTTATAGGTTAACGCGCAGGCTGGCTTCGGAAGGTCTTATCTAGGAAATTCACGGTTGGTAAGTATCGGGTCAAGGGTGATGTTTGTTAATAATAATAGATTCTGTTCTATATAACTTTGTATATAATGTTTACCTTCATAAGACCTTACAAAGATTTCTCGATGTTGATGAGAGACGTCTATTAATAAGTAAATGAAAAAAGGCAATCTGTAGTTTACGCGAGTACTTAGTACACATTTAAATAAAACACTCTAACGGTTTTAAAACGTGATTTATATTAGTCTCCTCCGACGGCTGATGAAGCATGGAACACGCGCCTTATAATAATTGAAATAAGTTTAAAAATTTTTTAATCCGTTAAGTGTTTTATTTTAATGAATTAAGGTAAAGAACGGTTTTGGCGATGCTCGGAAAGGGAATTCTGGCTTGCTCTTCGCAAAGCACGAGGCAGAAACATTTGTGTGATTTTATTCACTGACTAGTACACGACTGACACGACCTACCTACCCGAAACTATGTCATTCCGCTTCAAACCTAAGCCCTCTCGTGCTCAACGCTTTTAAACATTGTGTCATTTTGTCATCTTAAAGGAACGTATGTCAATGACTCGCAATTGGTGTTATATATGATGTCTCTATTTTTAAACATTCCAGTGTCATCAATGGAATTGCATAAATGAAAAATTGAACCTTACGGACGCGCTGCCGCCTAAACAAACGTATTCGGCTACACTGAGAGGTTTATTGCCGCCAGAATGGCAGGAATTGGGCATGAGTGGCGTGGACTACTGCTATGGAAACCGAACTAAAAAGTACACCAATACGTGCCCCGGACAAGCCTTAATGCACTGTGTGGTAGATTACCTAGTTGAGGTATGAAGTTAAATAGATAATATTTTTAACACATGTTGATTGAATTGTTGTGCTGTAGCTTAGATCATTAAAGTTTTCATTATACCACGCTTGTAAATCTTAATAAACTCTGTGTATTATTATATACCTCCAAAGGTAAAAAAGTAGACCTACATTTTATCAATTTCAATAAAGACTGTTTGAAGTTATAATAGAATAAAAAGAACGTGATATTTTGCAAATATTGCTCGGAAACTGAATCAATTTGTAAAAAAAGTATATATAGTTGTTAAAATAGTCTTAATAGATAAATGTGTATTAAACAATTTTAACAAATAAAATATCTGCCTGCCGGAATTTTATTTTTAGTTATTAACGTATAGGGTTCTTTTACATAAAAAAAATATTTATATTACAGAATTGTCCGGTAAGCAACAGACACGAACATGATTATTGCGCATCAGTTTCTTCAATATCAGCCAACAATTACATGTTTTCGCAAAGGTATATTTATATAATAAAAATTTCAAACACATTATATATAGTAACTCGCGCACAACCAACTAAATTAACACTTTAATATATATTTGCAGCCGTTATAATGATCTTGAAAGGAATATTCCAACAGAGCGCCGTCCTTCGTGGTTTCTAAGAAAACGTAAGTGTATCTAAATATAATTATTTGCGTCATAAAGATCTTTTTATTTAATTAAGTAAATTATTAAATTAATTTCAATACTAAGACTCTACCAAGAATGAGATTTTACTTAAATTAAATGTAGAGGGTGGCCTGGTAAAGGTTGCATATTGTTTTAGAAGTCACAGGCAAAGTCACAAACATTTATTTATATAGGCAACTAGGTACATTTATGAAAGTCATACTAGTAAAAACCTAAAGACTCTAATTTTACTTTTACTACCATTTCTTAAATCAATGGCGGAAACCGAACGAGTAAGAACTATCAAGGAACTCGCCGTTACTCCTTTTATCGCCAAGTTCTATTTATCACGAACTTTAAGTACTACAGTGTACTTCATATCTTTCTAAAATGAGAATAAGAATGATAAAAACCACATGTGAATTAAGGTTCAGTATTTTTGTATCTTTGATGATGGTTCGGTGATCTCGGCGACGAAGCTAATGCTACCCATATAATATACCTATTATGGAGTTCACAGGCGCAAAGTTTAAGATGTTTAAATCGGGGAATCAAACCTACGAGTCGTTGTTTATTACTATTATTTAATTAATTCTATAATGGATCAACGTGTGGGACAAAAATATTGTTCTTTAATAGTTACCGAGGACATGAATTTGTTTCAGTATTTCAGTTCAAAATGTTGTGAATTGCCAGACCTAATTAAAAGTGAACAAGTAGAAGAATGTGGTTTTAAGACCTTCATGCACAACCATTACCACAACAAACAAACCGATCAACCATTCAGATATTCGTTTCCTCGCGTGGTAAGTATAGAATTTGATGTTATTCCTGGCAACTGGCGTTCGCCCGGTCATAGATAAAATTATCAAAAGAAAAAAGGATACTTTTGAAAAAAGAGATTTCGTCTGACCAATTGTAAATTCTATGTATATACTATGTGTATAATACTTAGGAGGTTTTTTTAAAAGTAACTTAAAGAGTAGTGACTACACAGTTTTAACTAGTATTCATAATCGAAGTTTTAATCCCCAAGTAACAATTGTCTTTTTCCATTTAGGTTTTAGTAACTACATTTCAATAGTTTTAACTAGTATTCATAATCGAGTGTGTGCCTCTAGCTAAACTTAATCTCTGTGACATCTTATATGCGTGCACTATTTTCAAACGTTTATGAATATCACCAATAACATGTGTAAATAAGAATAGTGAAATACATATGATTGTTTACAGTTACAGACGAAAAAGTCAGATGAAACAGACAGAGATAAACTGCAAATTATAATGAATGTACGTATCTAATTAACTCATAATTGTGTCGGATAACCAATATATATTATCATTTGTTTGCCAATATTAACAAATCGTTTTCTAGGTGCCGACTACGACAAACTTGGAGGATAGTTCTGATGAGGTAAATAATATTAATGACATTTTATACTGTGTAAGAATCGTTTAGTAGAATTCACATCTATACTATCTAATTGTGATGAATTCGGTATTAATGTCTGAAAAGTGAATCAATTAAGCTGGACTGAAATTTTTCGCAAAAACAAGTCTGTACATGTTTTTTATATGATAAAGGAGGACAGACAAGCATGAGATTTAGTCCATGGAAGGTCTCAACACATATTCTTAACCATTATCTTATCCTTCCTATTTTGGTTTGGAAATGTCGAAAATCGGGTTTTACGATGTGGGGACGGCGGGTCCAACCCGTACGGAATGTCAATATTCCTACCACTCTTTTTAAATCCGAATGGAGATTTTCTAGAAACTTTAACATGTTTCAGAAAATTTATCAGAACCATTTCAGACGTGGTGGGAATCAAACGTAAGACTTGTAATTTATTAACTATATAATGCTAATTATTAGACAACCAGGTTTGTTCGTTGTCATGTGAAACGTTTTTATTTTTTAAATATTAATTTAGTATTCCAAAGAGTTCATGTATTTCAAAGAGGTTTACCAATTAAATATGTATATAATAAAGGCTGAATCTAAAAAAAACAATATAATTAAAATTGTATCTTTCCAGATCTTTTTTTTTCCTTTTTCGTTCTTTCTCCTGTCTTTGTCACGTACTTCACTAGCACCACCTACCTATAGTACTTTCTTGTTCTCCCTTCGCATTTGGTTGCCTGGAAGAGATCGCTGGTTAGCGATAAGGCCGCCTTTTGTTTATAAGCTAGTTCATTAGTATTTATTTATGTTTTTTTATAAATTGTGGTGTTTGTAGATAATAAAGTTATATAAATAAATAAATATAAGTATATAATGATGAATACTATAAAACAATTTTCTTAAAATCTTTCAGGAGTGGGATCCGTTGGAGTGTTGTGATGTCAACGGTTTCATTGAGGACTCATGGCGAAGTCAGTGTCATTTCGAAATGTCATGGAATGTAACGAACCGTCTTCGTTTTATCGATGTTAGTTCAAACATACCAACGACAACAACACAACGACCCACAGTAGTCAGAAGTGATGTCAAAGTGGTTCCATTTTCTGTAAGTACATCAGTGTTTTGCAAGTGTATTGTTCGTAGTATTAGTAAACTGTGTTCTTCGGGAGTCCCAATTAATAATGAAATTTTAACGTTGCCCAAAAAGTTTATGAAAAAAAGTTTTAAAAAAAAAAAAAAAAAAAAAAATCCGATCCGCCCCGAACGGCTGGGCTGACCCTTAAAGTTTTTAAAGTAACACTCCACTTGAGTACTGTCTGTAGTTAACGCGAGTAGAACACATTCAAATAAAACACTTTAAACGGTTTAAAAATAATCGAAGTATATTAGTTAACTTATTTATAATCTTTTGAGTCCCCCATCGCCTCGGCTGCTACAAAGCATTCGAAACGTCGGGCCATAATAAATTTACCGTTTTAAACGGTTAAAAGAGTATAATTTAGACATGCCATTCTAAATGTTACAAAATATGCGTGGTATGACTGTTACATAGAACAAGACTAAGTATATTTTTTATTGTCTCTATATTTTTAGTGCGAAAAAGAAACTTGTATATTCAAAAAGTTAAACGTCATATCGGATACCGGTAAAATTGATGCTATAGCATTTACAAAACTCTTGGACAATATGACTGCAACACATCCTGAATGGGAGAAAGCGAAGGCTAGAGTTGTAACGCAGTGTTTCAGTAAAATCTACAGACGATACGATTCTGAATGCCGACTTAACGAAGTCCTTGGATGCGTTTTTGATGTACTGTCCGAGGTAAACTTTTTAAAGGATATATATTGTTTTTACGCATTTAATAAGGTCTAAATAAGCTTAAACTTTTCAGAACTGCCCTCATTCCAAGAAGGACGACCCATGCAAGTAGGTACAAAAGTTGGTCATATGTTCATGTTTTAAACTGATAGATAAATTGAATTAAGAAAATATGCCTCAAAATGCAGGGACACTGGCGTAAAGTGGCGTGTTGCTAGAAATCGTATTAAGCGTGATCGTCTTAAACGGGTTCTACAGTATTTGATTGTTGTCTTTTGTTACAGAATAAAGAACAATAACGACAAGGATATTATTTGTCAGATTAGTGCCGCAAAATATGCCCCGGTATGGAAATTGTGATTCTAAGTAAAGAGAAACCATAATGGTTTCCTCTTATGCAACGGAGACATTCATGTTTCACTGAACAATTGTATTTAGATAAGTAGTTGATCACACTTCGATGCCCCATTCGAACGAAAATTTTATCTTTTCTGTTTTAAACCCAGGACTTCTGGCGCTTAACGTTGTGCGTTAATGAACGACCAATATTAACTGTAGTTTACGCGAGTGGTACACATTTAAATAAACACTTTAACGGTTTAAAATGCGATATAAATAAATTAAACTTATTTGAATTCTGCGAAGCTAAATAACTTATATGTATCGCGTTTTAATCCGTTAAAGTGTGTTATTTAAAGGAAGACTAACATAAACTCAATGATATTAACTGGCTGCATATTATTTACAGAAATTCCGTCGTCAATTTTGCGGTATTCCAGAAATTGTAAATTCGAAAATTCTCGCTGAATGCGACGTAACATCAATATCCACTTTAGAGTATGTTCCCCAGTTTGAAAAAACTGTCTCCCAGCATTGGGAAAATAAACTCAATGTAAGTTTCTTTGTCAGTTATTAATATAATTTCTAATTACGTTCTGTAGAGTTGCTCAACGTTATTTACATTAAAAATAAAATGTTGCCATTTAAGTTGGAGTTGAAAGAATAACACACTCTTACAGACACATACAATTTGGTCGAGGCTGCTCTTTAACTAATGAACATATGTGTATAATACCACGATTTTAATAAATCTCTTTAAACGATTTAAAACGCGAAATGTTTAGTTAAACTTCACAAATTATTGTAACTACAGTCTGTCGTCTTAGATGCTTTACAGCAGCCGTAATCACTAGTTACAATATGATGTAAATAAGTTTTACTCATACGTTTCGCGTTTTAAACCGTTAAAAGTTTTCTTTTAATCATACTATACATACATTTAAAAGCTGCCTAGACCTAAATATTTGTCTTAATTAATTAATTTAAAAGTGTTTAAATGTGTACTACTCGTGTAAACTACAGACTTACTACCATGGTTTTCAGTGTAAGGAACTAACACAACCTACAAGCTGTTTGCTCGACAAGATGGGAGTTCTTAATAAATACGGCTTTGTCGATTACTTTAAAATGAAGGATCTGCTTCGTAAAGTTAGCAAAAGCCCTCTATACGAGTTGTACTTTACTGTGTTTTTAACAACGCCCATGTATCACGACTATTGCAGTTCACCAAGGAAGCTATTGAATATATTAGACTTGATGGTCATGGTGAGTTGCGTATATTTATATAAATTCATTAATTAGATATTACAGAATACCTTTTCAGGACATAACGCCAAAGTAAACATTATAACAAAATAGGCATCAGAACCCCTGACAATGGGCGTTATTTTCGAATACTAGTAAAAAAAGTTAAAAGATCATTAACGGTTTATATGTGGAAAGGGTGACCAATATAACGCGTTTTAAAACCGCAAAAAAAAAATATTCAAACGAGTGCTACTTGCGTTAACAATAGACCAAAGGTACTTGCCAAATAAGTTTTTATGGGTCAAACTGAAATGCTATGTTCTATATATATTTTTTTCAGACTTGCCCTGTGGCGAAACGCAAAAACAACGCAAAGTGCAAGAAGATTTTCCACGAAATCGAAACGACAATACCACCGAACATGACAAAAGAACAACTGGCAAGAATATTCAAAAACCTAGAAACCACTATACTATCCGAAAGATCCACTCCAAGCACGATTTACAGACCTAAACTTGGGACTGTTCCAACACGTAAAAGTCCATCATATTCTCACACAAATAAGATATATGATTATGGAATTTTAGGCTCTCAAAACGCACCTTCCGTGAATATTATTGACGTAAAACCGAAGCCAAAAACGCTAGTTATATTACCAGTATACCAGCGTATGAACACGTCCTACCCCATACATTCTCTACAAAATGATGGTATTTATAGATCATAATATACTTTTTACTAGTCTACATACGTCTTGTGGCATAGATAAAAAACGATACAATAAAAAATAGTTAATGACTAAATTTACAATCATATTAGCGCGTGGCTTTTTTGGATGTTTTTGTATAGCAAAAAAAAGATAGGAATAGGTAAAAAACAACAAGACGATTATTGCCAGAATTATGAACGTCATGTTGAAAAACCCTGAAAAAAGTGTGTGTTTAAAATAAAACGAGAGGAGAAGCAGTATGTATTTTGTATTTGTAATATTTCATATTTCTGTAACAACAGAAAATATCGTTCTAAAAAGTTCTTATATGCTAATTTCAAACCAATCATGTGTGTATACGAAAACTTATGTCAGTCTTTACAATATCATGTTCCAATACGCGTGAATAATAATTTAATAAATGCGAGTTATAATGTTTGCTCGATTTTTTGTAAAAGATGATATTGGCTTGTAAAAATCCCCATCTAAAACTATTTTGCTTAAATAAGAGCAATGCATTTGATAAATATGTAAAAACTTTATCTAAATATTATTCTACAATAAAGTACATTGTCGTCATGCTTAAATTAATCCTAGGGTTCGATAATATAAATAAACAAGAAATATAGCAAGAGAACGGGCACGTGAGTTTAACTCAAAATAAGTTTTAAATAATAACAACTTAAGTTTTTAAACCTAACCCTTCGTTTACCAAAGCCTAAAGAAGTTTATTGCATCAAAAGTTAAAGCGTGAAATAACAAAATGGCAAGCGAAAATAAAGTAATTATTTATATTCGAGTTCTTATTTTGAAAATCGAACTGTACACCGCAATGCAATTTTTTTAGGAAAAATACTTATTTACATAAATGTCATTTGATCACATATTATACTAAAAACTAAAAAGAAAAACACAAAACAAACAAACTTCACTCAGTAAAACGTAGCAAGATTTACATTAAATCGTTTCTTTTATGTTTTAATACATTTATACAGACGTGTAAATAATATTCAAAACCAAAGAAAGATATTGTTATATTATATTCTTATTATTAGTCTTTTATATGTACTAATGTTTAGCCTACTTTAGACTACACCGCAATGTAACATATAACGTACTATTATGTACTTCAAACAAGTATATAATTAACGATTCTACGTCTTAGCTTCGATCATATTGAAGTATATTCGTTTATATCTCAAAATCGTCTATCATCAATTTTTTTTTCACAATTAACAAGAAAATTTGATTTGTACTTTTTCTACCTCAAATGTTATGTAAAACAAATATAATTTTACGATAATTTTAAAGTTTAAGGCACTATACAATTGCTATTTCCGAAAAAAAAAACATCAAGGCATATTTAAACTGATGCTGTCGTAGTTTCTCATGGACCTCGTCTCCATATGCGCAGACGAATTCATTCTTGCCAGTATTTCCTGTTGTAAAGCCTTCAAAGTTCTGGCGGCGGAGAGGTCTGTGGGCGGAGCTAGTAGTAACGCACGACGAGCGTGTGGCAGTGCGTCAGCTGGTTTATTCAGAGCAAGAATAGCACGAGACATTGCGTATGCGCATTCGAACGCGTTAGGGCGAAGTACAGATGCACGGGCGGCAAGATCTAGCGCTTCTGATGGCTCCTAAAGGAAAAATAATAAAAAAATAACTATGTTGTTTACGGAAGATTACCTATTTAATAAACCTTTAAGTACCAGGTATAAGATACAGCTTAGTAGAACATAGATAGAGTTTTTTTTTCAATCTATTATATATCTACACTTGCGTATTAACCTTTAATGTTTTATGCTTTGCAGCTTTAAGAATCTTACATTGAGTTTCCGCTTGCATCTCGATAAATTCAACAGCAAATTGGTCTTTAGCTGCACGAAGGCTGAGACGTGTTCATGAGGTACAGGTTGTGCGCCTGGTGCTGTTAATCCTTCATCACTGATGAGGGGGTTAATTTTCTTGAGAGCGTATTGATAGCGATGGGCTGCTTCAGAGGGACGATTCTTTCGGTAGAGAAGGTTGCCGTCTTCTAGGAGCTTGTTCAGAAGAATTAGCCTGGAAGCCAGAGTATCGTTGATAAGTAAAATTTTGATGAATAAATCAAATAATTACACAGTCTGCAGTTCTTAGAACTTTAAATAAAACACTTTAAACGGTTAAACGCGAAACATATAGTTAATTTATTTTAATTAACGCTTAACGTTTCAGTGCTTTCAGCAGTCGTGGTCAGTGACCTAAATGGATTACATATAAAAAAAAAGAAAAGAAAGAGGAATTCGGTAGAAGTGTGTCTTATAAAAACCAACAAAAATAAGAACTATTTAAATGGAAAAAAGAACTCACATAAATTCTGGTTTGCCTGACGCCATTACCCATGTGGTGGGTCCAAGTTTTGCTCCTTTTCTCAGAAAAGAATTGACCACCTGCAAGGAAATTTCTAGTAAGAATCACGAATAGTGAGAAGTAGAGTGCAGTAATAAGTCACAAGTTGGCGATTAAATTATTATTATTATTTGAAGGTTTATTTAAAATTTGGAAAAACAAGTGTATAGTACGTACGGGAACATTTCTTTGTCCAATAGCTCTGTCCAATGGTCTGAGGCCACTATTGTCAACCTTTTCCAACGAAGCTCCTCTTTCTAATAGCAGTTCTACTAATTCTGCTGATCCACCGCACGCTAGACCTAACGGCGTTCTTCCACTGCCATCTGGTTGATCTAAAAAAAAAATTAATTTAGACAGGCGCATTGACGCATTAGAAGTAGGTAATATATATTCTTTAACACAACAGTCTCGATACAAATTAAAAGGTTTTTTAAAGTAGTGTTACCTTAATTGTCATACTGTATGGTATTGTCTTTCATTACATGTTTTGTGTGTTTTCATTATTGTTTATATTATATATAAACTACTCATTCTAAATCTATTTATGAAAACTTATATTAAAAAAATTGATATCTATATAATTGTTACTTTATTGTCTATTCTGTTTATCTACTTATCAGTCTTTCTTAAATAAATAAATGAACGAAACAAAATCTCTTACCAATATTGGCGCCTTTGTCTAACAATGCAGTAACAGAATGGACACGAGAACGCAACGCAGCCCAGCCTAATGCGCAAACGCCGTCTGCGTCGACTGCTTCAGGATCTGCACCTGTTATTAAAATGTTATCTTTAAAGAACATTTATACATAATTCCATATTTCCCAATGTTTCTTCGCTCGTATTAAACGCAGCGTTATGTTTTATAGCCTAAAGCATTCCTTGATAAATAATCTAACCAACGGAAAAAAAAAACCAATTCGAACCTGAGATTATCTCGTTCAAACAAACAAAGTCTTGAGTTTTCGAGCTGCTTGCTCAACATAATTGAGAATTAGTTGCCGACGTTTCATCATCACAAGTAAATGACATCATTCATCATCATGAAATGTTACGCATTTTAAACCAAAAAGCTTTGAAAAAGCAAAATCCTTAATACATATTTGCTATTGAGATTACTTACCATGAGCTAACAACATTTCCAATACATCAACATGTCCTTCCGCAGCAGCCAAAATCAAGGGATTCTTCCCGCCTGATCCAGCAACATCTGCACCGGAGTCCAATAGCCGTAGAACCAGAGCGGTTCTTCCGTTTTTAGATGCTAAAGCCAATGGCGACATTTGCCGAGCATTGAGAGAATAAGGAGTTGCTCCCCGGATGAGTAGGGCATCAGCGATGGAAGCATTTCCAGTAGAACAAGCTGCAGTTAGGGCTGTCTCTCCTGTTACTGGGCAGATACCGTCCGGCTGGAAGAATGATTTAGTGATTATTATTGCAACGTTTTAGTCTTATAGCAACTATTAGCAACGTATGGCTAATAAATAATCAACTATTATAAAAAATGTACTCTGATATTGATACTTACAATTAGTTCGGCTGTATCTAACAAGTATTCAACAATATCAAGATGTCCATTCTGCGAAGCTGCTATTAAAGCATGTCTCGCGCCAGGTACTAATTGCTCAATGTTGTCATCATCTAGATCGATTGTGTTCCGATCGTCTTTGCCTGTTTGACAACCCAGGAGATAAATAACTGTGTCCCTGTGGCCATTTTTCGCTGCGTGAACTAAAGGCGTTTGTTCCGCTGTGTCAGTGTGACTAAGGGAAGCGCCTGAAAAAAAGATTTATTGATTGTCATTTGTTTTTATTAGATAAAAGTAAAGTAATTCACATATGTGATTGGTGTGCGGATTCAAGCGAAATAATTACCTGAAGCAATAAGCATTCTCGCGACGTCAGTGTGCCCCCTCTGACACGCCAACGAGAGCGCTGTGCATCCTTGAGAGTTAGTCATTTCCAGATCAGCACCAAATTCTATTAATAAACCAACCATTGCTATTATCCCCTGGTATGCATACATACAAAGCAAAGGGGCGTTTCCAAGACAGTCCGTTACTTGATTCGGTGACCCCCCAGCCAGAAGCATGAGTCTTGATACTTTTACATTTGGTGTATAAATATTCCTTAAATTTGCAATAGCCTCGCCGACATTGGCAGCACTTGATGCTACTAAAGTAGCTTGTAAATCTCTTGGACACAAACCTAATTGAGCCGGTCCAAGGTTTCTATACATATGAGCTTTCAGTATATGGTGTCCTAACTCCATTGACTTCTCTGGATCCAAAGGAGCTTGTACTCTTGATAGTCTAAAAGCTATGCCGCAGTGACCCGCCCTTAAATCGCATAGGAATTTGGAGCTCTCATTATCATCTCGACGGATTAACCATTCCCTGAACGACGGATGGAAAAACATGTACGTATTGTCTATGCGCTTCACGAGAAAGTCTGTGAGGGTTTCGAAGCGATGACAAAACTCCTCCCAGGGCAAAAATGTATCTACCAATAACGAATTCACCGAATAGTATATTTCAACTAACGTTAAAGGATATAAAGCTGACAAGCAAACGCTTAAAATATGCGTGACCTTTTCAAACGATTGCACAGTGGGGAAGCGTAAGTTGAACTGTAATAGAAATATTTGTGCCAACGATATTGGCACCACTTTATAGTTCGTCGACTTGACCACTATATGACTTCTTTCCAATAAATCCAATATTAATTTCAAGAATAAGAAAGATCCTTGACTTAAATGGAGAACGTATTGTGCGAACTTCATGACTGGGTTGTGAACGCCCTCAGTCTTTCCAATGGAACTTTTAATATTAGTTTCGATGATGGGCGCTTGTTGAACTCTAGAGTTGAAGTATTCTAATAGATCTTTATTGACGTTGTCCGATTCATCTAAACTGAGCCTCGTGTATGGTAATTGTTTAGTCAACTCCAAGAATTGAGTCCGTATAGTTGCAACGATTTTGAGCCACGAAGGCATTTCGGGAACGTGTCTTGAAAGGAATGATGCGATTGTATAGCCATGATCCGGTCTGTGGTATTCAGCTTCGCATAGACCATCGACTAATATAATGCTGTTTGTGGAATCTATGCTTCCGTTGCGGCGTAGAATCGATAGTGGTTCGATGATTCCTCTTACGAAAGCTAGATCTGGGTCTGCAATGCACTCTTTAAGGGAAAGGCAAGCTAACAGATGGGCTTCGCTAAGTAAATATTCCCTGTACGCCTGTAGACGAGGAGCCTGACACAGTTGTGCTGCTAAAGAATGCACGAATTCACCAACTAGACAGGTACTATTGTTGTCAGCCTGGAAATATTTTTTTTACATTCTTTAGTCTTTTAATTTAACTATAATACAACCTATCTTAGTTAATTAATTTTCAACGATAAATTTAAAAATTGATAGAACAAGTTTCCTATTAAATACTGTCTCATGAAGAAGCCGTGGTCACGGGGAAACGTCGGGCCTTAGTTAAAACGATTTTCAAATAAGAATAACTCATATAATTCGCGTTTTAAACCGTTTAAGTGTTTTATTTAAAAGGTTTCTATTGTTTTATTTAATGTAAATATTTCTACGTAAACTTCAAGTGATAATTAATAGGCTAGAAAAGTCCTGAAATAACCCTTACCTGACAAAAATGATAAGCCACGACTTGCGATGCAAGTTGTGTCACCATTTCTGCTGCGATTTCTTCAGGTAATAATTCTCTTATGTCTGTTTGTTCCCGGAGCTCTTCATACTCGAAGTTTCTTTTCCGACCAAAACAAGAGTATTCGACTAATTGTAGTATTAAGGCGGTTTTTCCTGTACCTGGTTTTCCTGAGATCATTACACCTGAAATTATAAAAATATACATCTTGATATCACCATACCAACTTTATAAAACATAATACAAAGTTTAACAATTGACAAAAGCAATGGGATATTAATAAAGAATTATCATTTGACTACTAATACATTACTTTATGCATATTATATGACAATGCAAATACGTCCTACTCTAAAAAAAATATTTCAAAGTTTTTGTTAATTTTTCTTTATAAGCGATACATTAATTTTACAGTACACTGACTCATTTATCAGCAGGGTAACAATATCAGTATTACCTGAAGCTGCTGAATCCAAAGCCTTCTCCATGTCTCGCATGAGCCACTGTCTTCCGGAGAAGGGTGTCTGGCCATCAGTTGACGGGACTTCAAAGAAGAGTGGTCGTAATGTTAGCTGTGGTGCTGGGTGTACTGTTAAATTGAAATGATATATGACATCATATTCTCTAATTTAAAGCTCGTAAATCACTGATTTTCTAATGGATCGTTATCTATACTAATATATCAAGAAGAGTTTGTTTGAACGCGCTAATCTCAGGAACTGCTGGCTCGAATTTAAAACTTGTTTTTGTGTTGGTTAGAACATTTATCAGTGGGACATTATCAAGAAACAATGGGATATGTGGAAAACACCTAACAAACGGGAAAAAATATTCTTCTTTGGGAGTTTCCGTTGCGTGTTAATGTATGATTCTTTCATGATTCCTCTTTAAATGATCACGTATATTACCTTTTTTAATATCAGACGACGTTGACGCTTTGCTGTTAACCCTCGCTGATCTTCTGGCTGCAGTTTTTCTGTTCTTGAAGAAACCTGATGACATTCGAGTCAATTCCTCTCTACCGTTTTGTAATGCTGGAAAATTATATTAAGAATAGAATTTTGACGGGCATGTTGGTGTAATGGTATCAATGTACGGCTTATAATCAATCGGCCGTGGGTTCGGTCCCCATCAGGTCCAAGAATTTTTAATCGATACATATTTTCTGAAACATGTTGGACTTCGTCTGGAAATCTAAATATTAAATGGGTGGTAGGAATGTCGAAATTCCTTCCGGGTCACAAAACACCTTCCAATGGGGGTATTTTACCCACCATCAAGCTTGTTTGTTTGTATCATTAACAAATAAAGAATTAGTAGGTATTACGCGAAAGAATGTATTATTACAAAAGTTGCGATTCTTCAACTGTGATACCGGGGTTATATTAAACTTACTTGTAACTGAATGCCGTCTACTTCCAGGACTTGATGAAGAGCAATTACTAGCAGCGGATAATGACATCGAAGCGAGTGAACCAAGGGAGTCTCTACCTAGTAGCCCTGGAGTAGCACCATCTACTTCGGATGAACCCGTCAGCGTAGATACCTAAAATATTTGTATGATTAGGACGCGTAAAAGCTGTTTTCTTTAATTAAAATTGTATATATATGTTATTCTTTGATCGAAGGTCGATTTTAATCGTGAAATGGTATAATTTACACTCAATAAAAATATAATATGAACTCCAAATGAAACGAATTAATTTATTACCCAAACCTCGGTTCTTTCCAAGCAAAATGTTGGGATATAGTTAAATTGACTTATTTTTTTAATTGTAATTCGCGTTTTAAACCGTTAAAAGTATGTTATCTAATACTTAGTTTATGTTTAACACACTTTGCAGATCAGTTTCTCAAACTATATAAGAGCTCGTGATTTTTTTGCCCTAAAGTAAAGTGTACTTGTTAAGTGGAAATTAAAAGTGTATATACCGGACTAGTGTTGTGTGAAGCTAGGGTATGTGAATCGAGCGATGCAAGGGAAGTGCAGCTATCCCGCGATTTGTTTCTGGATCGCCGTTCGCCCAGTAGTAAGCCCAAGCGCATGTAGAGATCATTTTGACGTCGAGACTCGTAACCTTGTTTTATATGACCTCCTTCGTCATCTATAACAAAAAACATTATAAGCACTAGTTATAAGTCCATTCCAACACAAATATGAATTTCAAAAAATACGAACACGCTTCCTTTTATATTTTTTTTATGTAAACTGTAATAGATTCAAATGCAATATCTTCTACGCTTGTGACTGTGACATCAAACTAAGATATCACGTTTGAATCCGTTGAAGCGGTTTTCTTTAAAAAATCATATTTGTCAGTGGAAAATGACATGCGTCACACACGTGCTATATGTATTTACATTATTTACAAAGATATAAAAACCAAAAAAAAGAACACCACACATCATGCCTGTATGAACAATTACATGCTATACGTTCTTAAGATGGTGATTATTAACAGTTTATTTTAAGAGTTCCGTAGGTGCTTAGGTCGAAAACGGGTTTTTCTTAAAAGTAACAGACAGGTAAAATTTTCACAAATTATGTATTACAACAAATAGAAAACGTTAAACATTGTTCCAATTTTAGTATATGTACTGCAAAGGTAGTTTAAAAAAAAAATTGTTTTGAAACATGTTGAAACCCAATGACCGATACAATACTCACATTAGACCAACAAGGCCGTCAAAACTACTTTATTAACTATATGTGTGATCAAATTAAGACTCCGACTTGGTTGGGTTTCATAGTTCATTTAACAACTATTTATGAATTTAAATAAAACATTTTAACGGTTTAAAACGCGATCTATTAGTTAAACTTATTTGAAAATGATTTTTAACTTCAGCCCGACGTTTAACTAATCGCGTTTTAAACCGTTAAAGTATTTTATTTAAAAGTGTACTACTCGTAAACTATGGACAGTATTTAACTATATATACAGATAAAGAACAGCAAAACTTTTTACGCGGGGGATAGAAAACGATTCCCACATTATATTTTCAAATCACTCTAAGCCGTGGGATTATAATCTGATGTAATTGCTGGCAGGAAGTGTGATCATTTGAAAAGGTTGAACCGATTTAATAACTATTTGAAGTATCTTAATTGTGAGAATTACTTTTTCACAAAATAAATACTAGATATGGGAACTTTGTACCCTAGGTTTTAAAGGGTTCAAAAATTCACACGATCGGTCTCTGCTGCCGTTCGTTTAAAACAATAACTATATATACGGTTCTCAAAATCTATACTAATATTATAAAACTATTGAATTGGAAAAAATATATATTTTGAGTAAACCATTTATCGACGACTGCTTTAGGCTAGGTACGACATGACACTGCGGTCAATAGAAGTAGTAGTCAGTGATAAATGTAAAAAAAAAAGGGAAAATATCATTTAATTTTTAAGAGCTGCAAAGATGATTTAAGGCACCACAAAATATGTATGAATGAATGATTTCCCTTTAAAAAAAATCTAAAAAAAAATCTGCGACGGTATATGCCTACGTTTTAAGATTTACTCGCAACTCGCAAGTACCTTTATGGCAACCAAATTTGCTCAAAATTAATGGATTATTACCAATTATTTATTAGAGTTGTATCAACATATATCTTGCGGCTAACAAAACAACGTTTGCCGGATAGATAGTCATTTATGAAAAGATATTTTTATAACACCGATAGGTGATATAAATTCATACATTTGCTCTTGCGAGTAGAACACATTTAAGACAATATTTTTAACGGTTTAAGATGCGACATATATTACTAACGCTCGAACTGGTGTTTTTGTAATAGCTGTCTTTTCGGAAACGCATAAAGAATCGCAAGTAGGTACACCAAAGTTGAAGACTGTAAAAAAATAAGTTGGAAAAGGAAATGGGAGGCAAGGATGCAATCTTGAACGTCACACGAGCACCTGCGAATCGCGTGGGAACCGCAATGCGATTCCATCTGACTCTGTGGGCCATTAAACTTGCGGTTAAAGATGCGGATACGGGAATAAAATAAGACCTAATAGTGTAAATCATCTTTTGTTTAAATAAACTGATTTTTAAAAAAGCACCTTGAATGCATATATATTTAAGAATGAATTAGCTGCCAATTTTTTTAATTACAAAAGGTGTAATGTAGATATCGCGTTTAAAGCTACATATTAGATTTTTTTTTTGACACGATAAAACCACAGATAATAGTTAGATAATAAAAGGTTTATCATTACACATTTTATGATCCCGAATTTGGTTAGACTCCTATTTTACCACCCAACTGGCTGTTAATTCCTCTGTGCCTATAAAAATGTAAAGAGAGGTTGTACCTCACAACATAGTTGATTTTAGTGTCGTAAACCGCGGGTAACGTCGTGCAATGTAACTTTAAAAGCTATGTTCAAATACTTCGTTTAATAGCCACCAAACTTTACTATCCATTAAGATCGATGTTAAAGCTTCTCCGAAAGTCAATATCAGACTCCTGTTGTAGTACGATAACAAAAATAAATTAAACTCGTTTGACGGTTGAAAACGCGAAATTTCAAACACGGAGTTATTGACCATAGTTTTTTGAAAAGCATCCGAAACATGGACTCATAGTAAAATATCAATTAAATAACGTAAGTCACAATATACAAGTTAATAATTTAAACTGTTTTTCTGTACTAGCGTAAACTTGAGATAATGGTTAAAAGTAACTTGAACTTACTTAATTTCGTCCGAAGTAGCAACCAGCAATATTAACAATAATTCTAGCGTTCGTAACAATAACTTCCACGATCGTGAGATAGTAGATCTGTTATTTATTGATTTCGTGAAATAACTACGGTGTATAATTCGATACGAATTGGATAATGCATTTAATGTTATTTTACAATTGCTATTTCTCATAGCTTAATTTGTTACAGAGGTTTTCAAAGATTTTTTTAAGCTCTATATTAACATAATTGAGAATCTAAATGTTAAAAATGATTATAATATACAGCAATATAGGCAATACACCTATTAAAAAAACCCAGATTATTTCTTGTTAAAAAAAATTAGTCAGCATTGTCAACCCCTAGTCTAAGCTTTGAAATACACGTTCTCCTACTTTACTTATCATTAACGTTTCTCGGTGTTCTCACATAAAGTGTCGTAAGGACAGATAAACGAATCTCCTATTTCTTTAAAAGTGATTCAAATCTTCAAATACGTCCCTATAAAACCGGTATATTGAAATACATTGTCGCATTCTGCTCAGATTGAGGCGACCTGTTTCATAGAAACAGAGCGATGTAAAGCGTAATATAAAAATATTGTTTTCTACTCGCATATACTTTACGATTTGGTACGATATCCCCTGCGCGTGGGAGAGTGATTTTCGATGCTAACGAGTACTTCCCGGCGTTGTATCAACATCTACGTATCATCATATGCTTCAAACACTAGTTATTATCTTGAAATAAAATTCATGCTTAGTAAGCGTCTTTCAAAGCAAGAATCACTTTATTCTTGATAATATTTAAAAAAATATGAGATGGAGTACATCTCACGACCAGTAGAGTATTGTACATTGCCAATATAATTTATTACGCACACTGTTTAATTAAAAAAAACTTAAGATTATGATAATTCGATTATAGTAATTGGAGAGTATAATGATTTGATTATAGAGAGAAGAAGCATTTATGTTACAAATTCTTCTTTTTAAAGTATCTACCGTATAAAAAATTCATTAATGCAAAAACATTTTACTAATAGATCATTTTATTTACTCGCAGCGTTTGTATATTAAACCGAAGCGTTCACTCAACTGTCAAATTCTCGTCTCAAAAAGTTGGGAAAGCAATTGACCCTGACAGAGGTTTGCTGTGAATTGTTAAACTAAATGTCAGTGGGAAGTAGATAAGGCACAATGAAGCATGGCCAAGGTTCTATGTTACTCAATCGAATTGTAGAATATTATTTATTTTAATATATAAGACAGGAGAGAATAGACTAAAATCGTGTTCATTTAATGGAAGGTGCGTTGCTGCAGTCTTAAAATATCTAATTATGACGCTGTTCATTTATTTTGAACATTCGAAAATCCACACCCTAAAACCGACAGTTCACGCGTATTTCATCCGTGCGGTGTTAGTCATAACCCCGTTTCGATCATTTAATCCAGGGGTTTTTAACTCAACCATATTTTAAAAAAACCTGATACCCGCTAGACTCGTCAGAAATCGAACCCATGTGTTGTTCATTATATGCCAATCACTACCACTGTATTAAAAATGTAGTGTAAGAAAGAACAGTAAGTCTATTTTCATTTTTGGAAGTGACTTCTATGTCTGCTTCTAATACAGTAGCAAAATGTGTGTCTCTTTAAATTATTTTTCATTCTTCGTATTTTTCTTTAACCTGTGTATCATATCGCCTAAGCATGAATTTCGTGACATGACTACCAAGCCGTTATTTGTCCTATATAAAACTGTGACAAAACTTATTTCGAAAGTCGTAAGTTATCGAAAGCGAAAATCGTGCGACGTTTATCGTGTTATCATCAGCTTTCTGTCACATCGCTTTCAAACTTAAACGTTGCATGTCAATTTCCAGATAACTCTTTTATACCAATGTATACGAAATAGTATTTTGCACGATTACTATAAAATTTAAATGTCACAATAGTACTGGCATGGACTTTACAATTGACTTTTTTAATTGACCCAATAAATGTCTCACGACATGCAAACTATGTAATTGCCCTCTCTCAGTTATTGTCTAGAAGTGACATCGTTGAGTTATATTTTGTTGACTCTAGTCACGTTTAGTTTACCATCTGGTGATAAATATACTTTAGTCTTCAATGGATCATGGATGGTATTTATTCAGTTTACAAATATTACGTATATGAATAACTCGACATACGTTTCGAATTTCCAAAGCCGCTATGTATATGTCGACAGCTATTTTTTCTAATAAAACACTTTAACGGTTTAAAACGCGATATATATTAGTTAACTAAAAAACTTATTTGAAAATAATTTAACTACGGCCCGATGTTTCGGAAGCTTTGCAGCAGTCGTGGTCACGGGGAGACACCGTTAGTGTTTTATTTAAATGTGTACTACTCGCGTAGACTACAGACAATATTTCATCTCAATTTTCTATGTGGTTAGATAATTTAATCTATCATAAAGTGATCCTATTGTTGTTTGTCCTCTATAATAAGAAATATGTTTCAACAATTGTATGAGGAAAAAGAATATATTAACGAAGCGATATTAGGTAAGTTGTAGACTCGGACAAGTAATTTCGTAACAAAATGACAATGTCTGTGAGGGCGTCTCTTGCCTTGGTCTATATCTAGATGACATAATCCGTGAATAAGCCACCAGCCCACCACCTACAGGGTTAACCCACAGAATATATCAAAACAGTAGACCTAAGTAGGAAAACGATGTTAGGATTATTTGTTACTTTATTGTTTTATCTTAGACATGTTTAACAAGAAAACGGTGCGCGAAAGATGCAGTTACAGAGAGGTTATGAAGTGACTATGTCAGTTAGTACAAAATGGCGGGAATTGGTCAGAAGTTTGAGTCCAATCTATTTTTTAAATTTTTATTTATTACTAGTGTTAAAATTTTCAAATATTTCTTGAACTAATTAGTAATCGCAATAGAAAATTGTGTAGTATTTTCCCAACTCCCATCAGCTCCCAATTCATTTTATGTAACTACTAAATATTTATGTAAAATGTGACCTTGTTCCTATTGTTATAGCTTATCGTACCTTATATTTAACCATTTGTCTGAATTTAGAGCGGATTATGAGTTATTTTAACCATTGTTTATAGAGATCGTAGCCTCTGAATAGCAATTTAGTTTCAACAATATTTTATTATTATTATTGAAGAAGTAATTAAATTTTTAGAGATGTATATTTTGCTAAATCGCATAAGTTCCATTAAACTTGTTTTCTTACAGTATTCCATAATAGTAACTAGATTATGGTTTTATGAAGTGTTAAAATACATAATTTTTTTTGTATTGTTTGAGTGAGGAAAAATCTTATTTACAATTCTTTTTCAAGCGTTCGTAAAATGACCCTATACTACTTTTGTAGATACTAAATATATGTCGTTTTGTTGTGCTTAGACTTTTTTTCAAATAACCTTTATATACTTATTGTAGGTGAAGTATATAAGTGCGTTGGTGTAGTCCTTTATTAACATAGAAATGCAGTGCAGTGAATTCTAAGCGATGTGTGGTGCTAAATAGTATACATACAGACGTATTGATATATTAAATATGCTAAAATGACCGCGTGTAAGGATAGCAATGTGAAGACGTGTTGTTATAGCGGCGTTTAGATTCCTATGCAGTCTTTGAGACAGTGTCTGTTATCTGTTACTGTGTTAACTAAAATATACCGTATATTTTGTTTCGTATATTTAAATTAGTTTCCGGTAAATAATACAACTACTATTATAAGATTTATATAGTATATATTAACCCATTTCCCATAAACGGGATAAACATAATATGTTTGTGTACTAGATGGAACTTCTTCAGACCTCAATTTTTTTATATCCCCGGAAATTAAAGCCAGTCTCCGACAACGTGCTCAACCACAGAACCGGGGCTTTCACTAATAAGAAAAATCTAAAAAATAAGTGCACTTAGATTCCGTATATAAGTTTTATCAATTCTGTCAGTACTAAAGGTATTATTAAAACTCTAATAGACGTGGTAGCTACTTTACTATCGACTATAGCAATAACTTAATCGATCCTTATCTCAATCTCAATAACGTTATCTAGAGATCGTATTCACCCACGTATAAATATTTTATTAACAGCCTTAATTTGAGTGCCCAATAGTATTCGTTTTTAAAATACGGTCTATCGCAACTGATTACATTAGCCGTCGTTTCTCTGTTCTTTTAAAGTTAAGAAATATATTCAACTTAAAACAGTCACTCAAATGTTTCCTAATGGCAACTGTTAACGAAGTGTCAGATGATCCAGAAACTCAAGCTGTGATACACAAATAAATACAAAACAAACCAATATCAACCGGTTTTAAAAAGCTGTGCATCAAATAAAATGGAGCGGTTGAATACAGGCAGAGGTGTGCAGAACTCGTTGAGGAATGTGGATCGAATTATACTTATTTGTTTACCTCCAGACCCTTGAAACACCGATTTTACGAAGCCTCAAGTCAAATAATGAAAACATGCATGTGTTTATTAATAGATAATATACAAATACATCTTTGATATAAATAAAAGAATCTGGTCAAATGTTTTATGATCATATGAATCATGTTTATCATTCGATCGACATTCCTCGGACGTAATAATCGTTTCGTGCCTGTCAACTGATTGAGTCCCTGCGGCACTGATGAGTGTGCTGACCACAAAGACCTTATTTTATTGAATACGAGGCTTGTCCACGCAGCGCTTCTGGGACCTTCTTCTGGTAATCCTGTTGAAACGGTTAAAACTACAGGTAGAGGTCTTGTAAGCAACTCTGGTTCTATACCTTTCGATGTAATTATAACATCAGTGAGACTTGTTGAAGTCAATATTAATCTACATTAAGCAACTTATCATAAAACATTAACAGATACAAATGTCGGACGGCTAAAACTAAACGTAGCCGTTCGAAACCAATAGTTAACGCAGCTGTGATCCAGGTACGTTTCAATGATGTAATTAATGGAAATAGAAAATGTAACAGATGCCGAGATAATTCGTCGGCCCGCCGTCTGCGCAGGCAGTGTTGCAAAAGTTCGACGTTAATAAATAAGCCGCTAGACAACCGGTCCTTTGCGGAACCTACGTACATCCGGCGGGTGTGCGTGGGCGCTTAGGCTGTCACTCAACGTTGTCTATAGGATCCCCAGGATCTAGCTGTGAATACACTTGTAGCAAGAACACATATATGTTTTGATTTTAACCTACCTGATAAAGGCACGACGTTTTCGTTAGAATGTCGACTTGCACGTTGTCCAAACGGACTGCGCAACGACTTCGGGCTTAAGAAGAATCTTCTCCTTGTGTGTGGTGGTGTGGGGCAGCTCTGTGCAAGGTTGGCTTGCTTCGGTGGCTTTGGAAGACGCATCGGTGACTGCCATTCCGGTTCTGACCGCTGCGGTGAAGGTGTGTATCGTTCCATCACTTTCCTGCCTTGGCTCTTTCGAGCGCAGATGGGGCACGCTTCGTTTCTAAACATGCAAGCGTAGCACCGTTCATGTCCGCATGTGTCAATCAGCTTTCTCTTTTTGCCCTTATCAAAGGGCATGTTACAACTTGGACAAGTTGTGCCGCCGGTTTCGCTCTCGAGTAGTTGCCGCAACGCTGCCAGATCTGAAAGGATAATATAGCTTAGCTTATTAATAGAACCAAAATAAGACTTCTAACATATTTCTACTACGAATAACTCTTATTTTAAGTACTATATGTACGCAAGATTTTCAGGGATATATTAATAGAATATCGGCATTCATCACAGAGATTTGTCTCACCAAAAGCATCCTAAAGTTTATTGGTAGTTCTAAATCAACTTCTCGAATTTAAAGAGTCGTAAATCAAGTTTCTGTAATTAAATACGAATGTCGCTGGCGTGAGAGTGCTGAGACATGATCTTTCATTGTCAAGCAATACAAGTTCATGATTCACGAGCGATTTAATGATATCTGTGACCAAACATTGTCGATATAGTTAGCGAGTTTGGATTATTATCGATTCTGCATTAATTCTCTACTCTCACGAAGAGACTTGAATTACAATCGACGCAATGGATGCTGTAAGATTTACGATTGAAATCTGAATTATTTCCAATAAAATAATTGGGGCAATTTATGACTGCAGTTTTCATTCCGGTCTACCGGTAAACAAAGTTTGCATAATCATTCCCGAACTTGTTTACACGAGCTGCTGCATTCGCTTTCCTTTTGTGACCTTTAAAAATATTCATTACATACCGGCCGCTAATTTGAGATCGATTCGTTAAATTGCCCATATTTTTGTGATCAATGATGATTTATGTAAGTAACCTGGGTGTGGACTTACATAAAGTTACATTTTTAAAGCTCGGTTGCGTAACGTTTGCGAAAAATATTTCAAGAAATCTCGAATAAACAGGGGAAATGGATTTGATAAATACGTGCTTTGAAATACCGGTTACAAGGCTAATGCAAACTTTTTTTATATGATTTCTTATCTCGATCTTAGGAATTTTAATTTTATGTTTCCTCCCATAATTTGGCTACTGCAAAATATGCACTTAAATCGAGGTGATCATTTATTAACGGTCATTAATATGTAATGTGCCTTAATGTGATATTCTCAAGTACATCGTCACGAATGAAGACATAATATTTAATTGGTGTAATTTCCGTTGTATATTGGTGTACTTTTCCAATGTAATAACGTTAAGCTTGCAAGGAATTACTCAACATTTTCACATACTTAACAACATACAGATGAAATCATTACTAGATACACTTAAGTAAAATTAAAGTTAGACTAGAGTCTAATTTAAGCTCAACAGCTGAGTCATTGTAATGAATCTTGAGCATCTCATTTCTCTTGCTATCTCTTTTCAACATCTGAAAGAGGAAGGAGATGTGCTAATTTCATCCGTATTTGCAAATTGTCTGAGGTATCAGACGTTGAGTCACGGTCATGGCCAACAGGTGATGAGTTTTAGCTGTTTTTGCTATTTGCAATTAGACGGTATTCGTATCATAACAATGTAATGATTATTCATTCGGATGATGTAAAGCAATCTACATTCCGTAACTAAAAAGGTGATCTAAATATTGACTAGGAATTCAAATATTTATTTATTAAAACGGAAAATTTAATTCAATTTTTAATAAATGAAATTGACGTTCTCAAAGCGTTTCTTATGTAGATATTTCAATCGAAACTGAATTTCTTCCGAAGATTCGATGAAATAATTATCTTGGCCATTTTTCGTTACTTTTTAAAGCGGCGAACAGTAGGTAGGCTAGTTATTTTACTTAACTATTATTAATTTTACTCAACTGTAATTACATCGATCACATGAAGAGCATGTCCATGAAAATAATAAATAATTTTATAATGTTTAAAAAACACTTTAACGGTTTAAAACGCGATATATTAGTTAAACTTTTTTGAAAATGATTTTTAACTTCGGCCCGACGTTTCGGATGCTTTGTCTCCCCGTGACCACGGCTGCTGCAAAGCATCCGAATCGTCGGGCCGAAGTTAAGAATAATTTTCAAATAAGTTTAACTAATTAAACGTTTTAAACCGTTAAAGTGTTTTACTCAAATATATAAATACTACTCGCGTAATCTATAGAGAGTATTTATAATGACCTAATTGTACAGAATAAATATAACCCCCAGTGAGTATTTACCCTTTGCTAAAGAATAATTATCTCAAGCGGCTCAGCCTCTATAAATTGTTATCATAAAAAAACTCATCGCATCTTAACCTCTTCAAAAACCGACGGTTCTGTTTTGAATATAAGCATTGTTTTAACTGTGTTAAAAGCATAGTGTGAAGCTAATTACAGTCAATTTGAGCTGGTTACAATTTACTACTGCTAAATTACTATATTAGTCATCGGCTTGTGAATTTTTTCGGTCAGATATTGCGTCATATACTTTTTTAGCCTCATCGAAGTGTAGTACCTACCTGTAGTCATTGACCTAAGTGAAGTTGGTTTTAGAAATATTTATGCATAGCAAGTTCTTATGATTGTGTAAAACATTGACATATCTGTACCAATCAGCAGATTGTATATATGTTGATTTTTTACCTTTTTTTAAGGAAAGATTGCAGATATTTGAATGTGTGTGAAATCTTAATTGCTTAGTTAAGGAATAATATAATTAAGCTTCTTAGTTACAAAATTAGTTTCCATGATCCCATTTAATTAAATATTAGTTTTAGAATCAATGGAACTTACGAAACTGTATTCCGAATCGTCTAGAAACTCGAACCTATAATAGATAAACAACGTATAAGAAAACTTATTTTGTTCCTTGACATTTAATTGAGGAATATCCTCAGACGAGATATATAGACGAAGAAAGGGTTGAGATTAAATAAGGAACATACAGAAAGCCTATTTAGGCCGAACTTAAAGAGAAAACTTTGGCCCACACAATGGACTCTACAATGTTTTTATAGGTGTTGAATTCTTATCACGCATAGCATTAAGGGCCAAGTTATCAGATCTAACGTGCAATCTCAAACCTAGATCTATGTCAAGTATTGCTATCTATATTCTGTGGTCGAAACATTTTCTAATAGCTTGTAGAATATAATTTGATGTCTTATGAAATATAATTTTTGTGATGACTATGTTTGTTTATCCTTATGTATATTTCCTTCACGGTCTCTTGAATTCAGTTGAAATGAGAGCAAAATAGGTTATCCTAAGTTCGTAAAAATAAAAGGTATTAAACTAGATATAGTTCTATTCGTATTTGTTTACAGACTGAAAACAAAATCTCTGTGCGTCGTTTTTACCTAGCTAAAAAAATATAAAGTAGAAAATAGTTATTCTTTAAATTATTTAAGAGGGCGTGTTCGCGTTGTTTATCTCTCTAACGACCTGAAATTGGTATTTCGACGGTTTTTCTATTTTACGATATCTCTATTATCACTCACTTCCTTTGTGCAATTGTTTACCTCATAAGCAGTGACCTGCGACGTGATATTTGTTAGGAATTATGAGGTCGACATTTGTATTCTGTCACTAGCGACCACGCCGATCTTGATATATTCCACAGATAATATGAAGGGCTTGCCGTGCCAGGTAATTGTGCGCTTGCGCAATAATTACCTAGGAATTAATAATCTGTACTTATTATTAATTTAATTTCAAATCTGTAATACTTGTTTAAGTGTTGCATCTCTCTTCTGTAGCTTGATTATAAACTTTTAAAAATAATTTAGATTTTTACTATGATTTAGGTAATATAATGATCTAAATACTGTCTATAGTTTACGCGAGTAGTACACATTTAAATAAAACACTTTAACGGTTTAAAACGCGATATATTAGTTAACTTATTTGAAAATGATTTTTAACTTCGGCCCGACTTTCGGATGCTTTGCAGCAGCCAATGGGGGGAGGGAGGACGGCCTCTTGTCAAACACCTGGGATCCCATATTAAAAACTCTGGATCCCAATAAACAGCATACCGACAAACGCGAAGACACTGTTAGTCAATTCTGTAAGGACCCGGCCAGTTTCGCCAAATACCAACTTCGACGGAACAGATGGCGCTAGCGTAGCAATTTTTTACTTTGACGTCAGAGACATCCTCCATCTTTAGTCTCCCCGTGACCACGGCTGCTGCAAAGCATCCGAAACGTCGGGCCGAAGTTAAAAATCATTTTCAAGTAAGTTTAACTAATATATCGCGTTTTAAACCGTTAAAATGTTTTGTTTAAATATGATGATCTTATGTTATAATAGAATTATATTTGTTGAAATTAGTTCAGATTTTTAGATTTGTTTTAAAGATTAATTAAACTACTACATACGTTACGCTATTAAAATCTTTCTTTATTTGAAATGGCACATAATGCTAAGAGGATTGTAATAAAAATACTAAGACATACGTTTCTTAAAAACAAGCACAAATACCGACTCATTGTGGTTTATCAACAAGAAATATAGGCTGTCATTTATGCAACACTTGTACATAAGTAGAATGGTATATAAAATGAGATGCAAAATTACAATACAGTAAGGTGACAGTAACACAAAACGTTAAAGCGAAGTGACCGTTCGATTTAATGCTGATATAATTTCTACTTTACATGATTCAGTAAGGCGTGTATACTACTGTAACCCTTTGTCACTATGGCTAGTAGGGAATTAATATTTTTGGGGTTTACTTTATTCAAAGATAAATGCCTCAGACCTATAAAAAAACCATGTTCGATTGATTTAGGTTTTGGACAGTCGAAATCTACAGATTGAAAGTTGAACTTACACTTCAGAATTTCGATGGTTATGTTGGTTGTTATAATACACTATCTGTTATCCACGGGACCACGGCATCGTCCGCGTCCCGTCAAACATTAATAAGTTTGTCCGTTATTTCCACAATCCCCCTTTTTCGTCGCTCCTATTAGTCGCTTGATGTTTTATAGCCAATACAAAGATAATTTATCATTTCGAACCAGTAGTTCCTGAGATTAGCGCATTTAAACAAACAAACTCTTCAGCTTTATTACATTAGTATATTTGCTTGTATTCCATTCCACAAGGTAGTGTTGATGATTTCGTATAGCATAGCTTTTATTGGAGCGCTCGCAGGGCAGTTATCGTAAATCCAAGTGCAGTTTAAGATTTTGGTCGTGACCACGTTTTAACGATCACTTGGCGAGAAATTGACTTTTGCTTTTGTTTTATTTATTGCGCCGCCGCACGGTACACTTACCCCGAGGATTAACTCAACAATTACGTTAAGAACATTACAGCAAACTTAATATTGTTTACTCATGTTGCAATTTTATAAGGATATTTGAAGGGTATAGTTATGGGAACCAACGCCACCGGGATTAAAGTGGGTTATACTGATCTTTTTGCAGCTTCAAGTGCTTTTAAATTTAACCCGGCGTTGATCTATAACCTAAGGACTCAAACCAAGAAACCCTAAGGGTTTTAAACTGAGACCAGTGAAATCGGAACTGCTCTAAACGTGGATGTATGGTGCAAGTCGATAAAATCGCCACGACGTGTCAACATAAAGAGTTGCACAACGAATCGTGCGTTCATTCTCATCGTCGTCACGATCGCACTGATATCCATCTGCTCTCACTTGGTGACAGAAATGTGGCGTCCTCAGCTCTGACATGATGATAAAAAAGCTCTTTAAGAAGGAACTTAGAAAACAAAGCATGGTAACACTGAAGTCATCTACCTAAGTAAATTACTTAATAAATAATATAAACAAATTTCAACAGCAGCCACACGCTGCTGCAAAGCATCCGGAACGTTGGGTCACACTTAAAATAAATAGAAATACGTATTACTAAATTATTTTGCGTTTTAAACAGTGTTTTATGTAAAAGTGTACTACAAGAATACTTTAATATAATTTCTCATATAGTATTATTGGGCACTTCAGCTGTAGATCATTTAATGCCTAACGACGTAAATCATATTTTTTAGAATTCGTAGTTTTTTCTATTTGTCGTGACTAGAATCAGTTGAAAACAAGTAAGGCATAAGTGCCTATTTACTAGTAGTTATGAATTCTTATGATGGACATATGATTTGTGTCAGTTTCAGGGATAATGTCATAAAATTAATCTACTTGTAAGTTTACGCAAAAGACCTTCTATAGAGCAATAATACTGATATTGTTTTGCAAATTGATTTTCTAATAGTTTCTGCAAAAAAGCTGTTTGCGCATTGCGTCTATAAATGCAATTAGATTAGATCAGATTACGTGTTCAATATTTATGAAGGTTCTATTGATAAGGCTTTGATTTAGAGGCTGACGTGATTGCACCTGCCTTTGCGGCGACGTCACACACCTATCTATATTTATCGATCTATGCTTGAATGCTTCATGAGCTGGAAGAAATATTTTGACATATGCCGTTATTAAAATGTTTCATTTAATGATTCTATTACAATTTAAATAAGAGATACCACAGATACCACTCTGTCATTTACGAATGTATATCAAAGAAAACACACTTTTTAGCGGTTTGAATTTGTACCAAATTACTTGTTAAGAATAGTTCTCAAAATTGGTATATATACTTTATAACAGAGGGAAACAGACAAGAATAGCCTTCACTTGATGAAAGTTAAAATACTCCAGTCATACAACATCTTTACAACATGCACAGTCGACCTATGTCGCCTTTGGAATATCCCTTGCTAATAATTACAAAAACCAAAAAATAATATGACTAGAAATAAATAGACTGGCTGAAGTAAATGCAGTCGTAAATCCCTAGATCCAATTACATGACTCCGTAGCAGCAACTAATAAGCCGTGAATATAATCCTCGCCGCAAACCGTTTGCAGGTTTACGAACCTTGCCCTAACGCATAATATCGATTCTACTCGTAACTAGCACTAAGTAGGTTAAAAATAATTAACAGTATTAAACGCGAAAAACCCGACTGACCTAAATATTTTTAACAGCCGTGGTAATTGCACAAGAAAACATCTATAGATAAAACTTACTATTTTTTATCGATCGACTTCTCGTAGGAAACTTATTCAAAATGCATATTACATGTGTAATATTAAAATTAATTTAGTAATGAAAAACAATTTAAAAATCTATTTGAGCTAACGTGTCCTACACATCATCATTGAATTTTTTCAAACTATTGATACATCTCTCGCGCAATTTAATTTTGACTTTTTTGTTATTTTAAAACATCGAAAGAACCCTACGACGAAGAGACTGTTAAAAGTCTGTAAGAATTACCATTTAATGACGTCATTAAAAATATTCACAGCATCGGTTTTATCTAAGAGTTTCTTATTAAATCACATGCAGTTTCATTGAGCGTGAAAGCCTTTGATTTATTGCCGAGGTACGTTATATATTGAGAACGTTCGCCGCCAACTAATTTCAATAGATCTTGAATTGATAAATGCCCTTAATGATGTAGTAGCTAACACACTGCCGACGTCAGGTTTAAAATACACCAACTTAACTAATATATCTATTGCCATGGTAACGGAATTAACGTTACCATGGCAACGGCGTATAGTAATTAAAATTACTATACGCCGATATAAAACATAAATATTAAGAAACTCGTAATCTTAATTGAAGTGGCTTTTTAATACAAGGATTTTTTTTCTACTGCACAGGACAGATATTTTCGAGCTCGTTGATCTAATGGTAGCTAATAATCCAAGGGGACGTGGATTCGATCCCCACCGGATCCAATATATTTCTTATCAATTGATTTTTTTTTAACGTGTTGTTGTTGTGTTGGATTTCGTCAGGAAATCTGGATATGAAATAGGTGGCAGGAATCTAAATTCCGATGAAAAATTTAGATGAAAATGCCGTGTAGTTTAATCGTGTTTCGGACTCAGTCTGTGGATTTCCGAATATCCAAAGCCAAAGATATACATTAGCTTATTGAGATGTTACATGGCTAGGGTATTTCACATCACATTTTTGTTGCATAGTTCGATTTTTTATTTACAAATTAATTCACTACATTAAATAACGTATTCTGGAAGATTTTAGTCTACTTGTATTATTACAATCATGCATGTTGTATAATCCTAAAACCTTTAAATCGTAAATGTATACATACAATAGGACTATTATCGTACCGAGTAACATTCACAATGCTAGAAGCAAAATGGTATCATAAATTAGCTGGAACGATTGCGGGTGAACATCTAAAAGCGCACTTAGACTAGAATATGTTTTGTGTGAAATCGGGTAACTAGGTCCCAGGTCTAAGGCGTTAGAAAGTTCAGGGCTTATACAGCCTACATAAACATCCTTCTTGTTAACACGTCTCTAACTAAGTATATAGACTTTAAAACTATGTAAATTCACACTGTCATTAGTTTAACCTATATAAAAAAATATTTTAATTACGGACCAACTTTGAATACTTAAAAACTGGTACGACAAGAAGTACTAATTTATTGCGCGTTTAAATAAAACACTTTAAAGATTTAAAACGCGATATACTAGTTAAACTTATTTAGCGAAAACTTATATAACGATTTTTAACTTCGGCCCGACGTTTCGGATGCTTTGCAGCAGCTCCGTGGTCACGGGGAGATATATTGCGCGTTTGAAACCGTTTAAGTGTTTTATTTACTCGAGCAACATACAAACAGTATTTAAGAATTTAAGACAAAATTTTTGTCTCAGGTAAGGCTGAGATCGCCTCTACAGATAAATGGTTATGTTGTCTGCAAATGCGTTAAGCACCGAAAGGTTCTAGGTTCGAAGTCTCAAAATCATTTGATAATACTTTTTTTTATGTGCAAAAACAATAGAAACGGTATTTCTTGTTCACATGATTAATGATAAAGATATTTTCGAAAATTCTTGGTTTTAACGGGCTTAAATGCACATTAATAAAGTAAAACATAAAAAGCATACTAGAACATAAATCAGAAAATCACCCAATAGAGATGCATTAAAGCCTTAATATTTCACGTAAAACATTTCACAACGTAACACAACCTATAACTTTCCACTTGACGTTAAGCCAATACGCAAATAAGGTAACACCTATGCACCAAAATTACCCTTAAAGGTAAAACTATAGTATCGAAGCTTGCACAAGCTATTTTGTAATCTTAGAATGGTAAAGTGAGCTTTTTCGTAATATATTTATTGTTATGGATTGTGAATCACGTTTTGTACAGTTGTAGTTTGACTATATAATATTTGGGACTGTAAATTTCACAGTCGTCATTATCACCTAGCAGTTCCCACAACTGGGATATGGGCCCTCTAGATTATAAGTTCATATTTTTTAACTGCTACGCTCCATGCTCCACGCTCAAATGCGCTATAGTAGATGACATTTTTTTTACCTTTCGAAAGCACTTATCAGCACACAAAGATAAATATTTAAATAAAACAATTTTAACGCTTTAAAACGTGAAATGCATTAAAATTACTGCATAGTAACCGAAACGTTTGACTGTAGTTAAAATAAATTGGAGAATAAGTAAAGTAAATAAATAAATGTGTACTACATGTATACACTACAAATATTAAAGATAATTTAATACAAGACTGAGAACGAACCTGGTAAAAGTGTCAGACCACACATACCTATACGCTAAGACGGTTATTTGAAATTTGAAAAAAAAAAATGTCGTCTTTCAGTACTTCAAAAAATTTATTCGAAATTCTGACCTTTTTAAGTGCCAATAACAATTTTATCCCCTTATATGAATAATGTCTTTCATCGTGCAAGTATACATTTAAACAAACATCTCAGCAGTTAATTAATGACCGAATAACATAATAAAATGCAGGTTCAGCTTTAACTGACTAATTACCCATTATAATATACATTCCCTATGATTAACGAATCGGGGAAAAATAATTACTTATGAAGATAAAGAATTCATACACATATGTTTGAATTCTTATAAATACAAAATGTAGCACAGTAATTAATGTACAAAGTGTATTATTTTTCTTCATTTTCCATTAACTTTCTTGTTGTGTAGCTTTCAATTAACTTTTTTATGTGATTTAATAATTGTCAGTAATAAACAATTCGTCTAAATGTAGGTACTATTAACTGATCAAATTTATTTATAGGCAAGCTTTTGATCGCTGATTCGAACCCAAGACTTGTCGCATTTAACTATTGAGAAACGAAGGCAGTAGTGCCTAATAGTAATATTAACACCACAGTATGAATAATATAGTCAGGTAGTATAGATTTGGATCGACACAAACCGCCTACGTTTATATTTTGACATGTACAAGCTTTGCTTAGCACAGTAAGTAACTTGTTTTCGTTTTAATAGTTACGTAAATATTGTCTCATGTTTTGATTTTTAATAGATAAGTGAATTAATATTAGTATCAGATCTTTAATGATTTCTTGAGGCACTCTTGGTTTTATTTTTTATTGAAATAAACAATGCGTGTGACTAATGTTTTATGCGAACAATGCTGTGAACTATTATAATACCATTAAGTTATTATTAGAGATGCGCCGAGTAACGAGTACCGAGCTTTACTCGGCTCAATTATTTTTCTACCGAGTACTCGAACGAGTAACTCGGTTCAGTCAAGTTAAAATTTCGCGCGTATAAACAAGTATAAACAGATACTGTCTAATTTAAGATATACAATTTAAATAAACACTTTA